GGTACTTGGCTATGAGCCAATCTATGAATATAAGGGCTAATGATACCATGTGGTTGCGCAAACTGAAATAGGTGGAGCGGAGTTCGAACCTAAGGCTCAGTGGCAGAAAGTCGAACGCCTGAGCTACTAGGCCATCTCTCCACTTACCTGTACTCTATAAACGTCATATAACTCTCATCGTTAATTTTTTCACCTGAACTATTAGTTAGTTACTTTATACAACTCAATTGCTTGACTACAACTTCATATACCCAACTTCAGTCTGCACTTTTCTTGTGCAAAATTTAATGACATTTAATATATTAATGACCAAACCAAAGTAGGTTGTATTGGGTTTGAACATACAATGTACTTATTAACTGGATAAAACACTCGTACTTTAATACATTTTCTTTCTACACACAAACTAGTATTTAAGAAATATAAACCCATCTTGGTATAAATACGCATAATAGTGTACTGTCAAGTTGACTTCAGTAATTTTGAAATTGGCCTATAAAATCTAACTACTATCGCTTCCAGAAAATTGGTTACTCTTCAATGACTAACTATGTTCCCGTTCAGTTCTACTCTGAATCAGTCTATTCATAGAAAATCAGTGACAATTTATCTTCACTTTATTGTTAATTGATGCAGATTTGACTTGTGTTAGCCATTTGTGTACATATGTCCCATTTTATAAGCCCTCTCATTTCCTATCCTCACTTTCCAACTTGTAATTTATGTATATCTATTTCACCATAGAGTTCTTAACATTACCCTAAACATTTACCTTACATTGTTATTGATTTGCCTTATGATTTGGTTGTTTTCTACTCCTCATAAATGACATAGACGCTACTAAATTTAGTCTTTTGCGTTCTGACTGTATGCATAGAGTTCTTGTTCTTTAGTTGCTTATTTCGCCCCTTTTTGTTTGCTTTGACCATTCATTAGCCATTATTCAAGCCTCTGAATAATCTTCGATCACTCAGGTTCAACAAATTTCCCTAGTAAAAGGCGCTATCAGTGAAGGCTTTTAATTTATCATCCTAGTTCTACTTGTTTCTATAGAACAACACTTGATATTTTGGTAACGCCGGTAGTATTGAGGTATTTTTATCTGGATTCATTTGATGAATAAATATCGAGTTTGTTAGAAGTGTTGTATTCTCTGAGTTGGGTTGTTATTATGTGTGGCTTTCTTTGTCTCTCAGGACAACGTCATTAGGACATACTTAGAAGAAAAACCCCTTTTAAAGTACACGGATATTTGTAGTTTAACTGACTGTGAGAATGGCCAGTGATTAACTTTTTTGATTGATTAACCAATAACTAAATATATGGTTAAACTCCACTAGACATGGCTTTTCACTAAAACTCCAAGATCTACCTCTCGAACGTAGTCAATTTGCTAAGTAAAGTCTACTGGCTCTTTGTCTTTTGTAATTAATTATCTTATTTTTTCAGTCATTGAAAAAGTTTTCAAACGTTAAACTAAAAAAACACATTACTATTCAAATGCGAGTAGTATGAGATAATATATTAAATGGATTTACAATTTTCAGTGTATACATTTTAAAAAACCAATATTTTATACCAAATTTATAGATGCTACGATTATTTCATTTTGTCTTTAAATTGTGACATGTTTTTATTGTTGCCTTCAAGAAGAGGATTGGTTATCTTCGTAAACACACGAACTCCATGTCTGAAGAATACTATGGTATTTTTGTGAATTTTAATTGAACCAACATTACAACTTTGTAACCGATTTTATTACTCAATTTTAAAGATTACACATTATTATTAAGTGGTTTCAGCGCAATAACCATGTGATATTGCATTGAACAGGGTTATATTTGACGAGTTGAGAATCTTCTTAATAACAGTGACTTAGTGGCTGTTGTTCGAGTTTCAGCCCTGGGTTCGAACCCCGCCCCACCTACTTCAAGTTAGACTCTCACATTTAGAATGTGGCTCACATCCAAATATATAGAGAATGAGTTAATTTATTATCATTAATTTTGAGAAAACTATTAATAAGTAAACCTTTCTTAAGTACATTTTCGTTGTTCCTTATTAAGTGAAAATGGTTTCACCGTATCAGTGTAACCACATATACAAATCTATATACTTAATACTAGTATTACTAGGGTATACATATATTATGTACTGCGCGAAACTGAAATTACGGATGTCATAGTATCTTTTACGCAAATTGTGTGATCATATGAATTCTTCGTTATAAATGACAAAAGCAGAAATTTGAAGAGATGTCTCATCAATAAACCATTTAGTCGGAATGTAATTGTTTGCATTTCCAACTTCAATTTAATATGACGGGAAGAAAAGTCATATCACAATCATTTCACGATATAGCATGACCGTCATTAAACATCACCGATACGTGGTGTCTCACTCTCGACACAGCTGAACTTCACTGATTACAATTTGTCGTTTAAACCTCGGTTGTCTTTTTCTAAATTAGTCACCAGTAAAAACTCAAGTATTACTTAGCTGAATGGATTGTAGAGAATAGTTGAAATTAGGAATATTTTTCATTGCTCATTCATCTGAAGTTTGGTCGTGATGGAATCATTCATCACGTTAAACTAATACCGACGGTAACGGTATACTGCACTAATGAACTGATCACATGATGATCTCTGGATTTTTAAGCGAGACTCAGAATTCAATGACAGGTCCTCTGTATCTTATTGGCAGCTAAATAAGAATTAAGTAGGAATTATCAATATTTATCTACTAAAGTGTTTAAAGTTAATAAACATAGTAAAACCAAAGAATAGAGATAAACTTGGACAACTCTTGAGATGAAGCTTAGATGGTTATCAGTTTGTTATGGAAAATATTGGAAAATAAATCCATATATATATATATATATATATATATATATATATATATATAGCATTTAAAATCAAGGAATCATCTCCACAGCCTTTCGTCATCGGAAGACTACAAAACATTCTCTTATTTTTCACGACAATGCTCAAACTTATCTAGGTTTTCATGTAATAACTCATTTGTTTATAACACTTGAATCTCAGTTGCCCTTACCTCACCAAGATCATTTCAGAAATCGCTGAAGGTCGTTACTGTAAAATAGAATGTGCCATCTTTTAACAATTTCGTTTTTTTTCTACACATACATACTACACTATGTAGTATTTCATTAACGAAAAAAACATCAATTAATCTCTATCGTATTAATGAGTTCATTTGAGATATGCGAAAGGCATGCATTGCTGTTTACACAAAATCATGTGTTCTTTTCTTAAAAAGTTTATTCTTCATCAACTTGTAAATAATAATCTACGTAATATGAAACGAATGGTTAGATTTAACATTTTTAATTTGTATTAGAAAATAGTCAAATAAATCTTTGGCACTGAGCCAAAAATATGTCATATATATATATATATATAATATGCAGTCTTTTCTCTCTACACTAAATAAATACACGCCAACATATGTCAACTTATTTGTTTCATGACCTGATACTTCAGTTGAACAATATTCTGTCTTTGTGTTTTGCGTTTAATTGTACACGTATTTCAATGGTAGTAAATGAATAGCATGTTAGTTTGGCTCACTCCACATATGTATACCAAATTTTTATTGGTCAGTAAAAAGTGTATGCGATGTTGTGAGGAATTAAAAAAAAATAGAAACCAATTAATTTTAAATGACAGTGTTTATTAGTAGTGAACAATTAATTATAAGAAATCTAATCCAAATAGATAATAAAACCTATAATGTTGAAAAAGATTAAATAATCAATATATTCGTACCATTATCACATTTTGATTCTTATTACTTAACGTCTGTAACCATGACTTACAACTGTATCATTGATACTAACCAAGCATTTTTCACTTACCGATACCATTCAATCCAACTATCAGTAATTTGATGAATATATATCATGTCTCTGTCTGGCCGTTCCTAACATTTTTCCAACCCATCCCTACCCCGGTCCGTACTGAACACAAAGGTAGGTGTTAGCTGAACATCCATATTGCGTCTTAGTTGATAAATTCCCATAGCCCCACCAACCTATCGACCATATGCAACTGAAACCTCAAGCCCAACGTCACCAATACTCACTTGATGGTTTAACTTTACTACAGCACCTACTTTAATGATTTGTGATTGGATACTGGTAACATATATATGTCCTCTATCTTTATCTATCATTTGTTTACAGTCGTTAAGTAATACAAAGAAAGATTTCGAAGTATACTCATCCGTTAATTGGAAAACAGAAATTTCTTCTGCCCGACAGATGACGTGTAGTGTTTAAAACAAGTCTTGGTTATTGTATCAGTTTCGAAATTACACCAACTATTAAGGCATGAGGCCCGATGACACTCCAAACATAAATGCTGTAGTCAACCTGTTTAACTCAATCCCTGTGATTAGACTATCCACTTATAAAGAGTTTTGTTTTGTTTTTTTGAAAAAAATATTTTAATTGTATCTTATTATGTAAACTGAATAAGTTGGCAAATGAATTTCTTTTTCCTATAAAATAGACTAAATTATAGTCGCATAAAATACCAAACACCTTTTCTTTTGACCTTGAGTGTGATTATTTATTTTCAGTACTCATGTGATAGCCTTATTTCATAACTACATATTTCTCAAGTACGTACACATGCATGTATATATATATATATATATATATATATATATATACATATTATATGTTTGACTTTTACGTAAATGTGCTGGAACTTACATTCAAATATAATTATAATTACATCGTATGCTTTTTTGAAGTTATCAGCTAATAAAATTATAATCTAACCATTATTAAAACCGTTAGTATTTTAGAACTTGTTCTGTTTCTTATCATGTGATAAAAACTATGCTGGTATATATATAAAGGTAAATAATGACGTGAAATATTATAAATGACTTCTCTCTCACCTTCATTATTTGAAATTATGCCAATATTTCTAAATTTATTCCGGATGTTTTGTTAAATTGTATTTCAGTCTATTTAGTACTGTATGATTTTGCGTATGGTGAATTCAAATTCAAACGTTATCATTTAAAATATACATTGGATTCAAGTTTAAATAATTGGGAAATCTAAACTTCCTTTTCCATCTGAAATTTGTTCAGATTGGTTAAATTAAAAAGTCTTGGAATTAATTTTTATTACAAGATGGTGAAAATTATTTCGTTAACTTAAACTTTCTTTGATAAAAAAAAAGATAAAATTTAACTGAATATTTACTATGACAAGTAGTGAATGTAAAAGTAGAATTAACAGTACAGTTGAATGTCCTGTAACATTTGGGAATAATAATAATCAAAAACAAATAAGTATTGGCCGTCCACCAAGTTCAATAAGTCTAATAACTGATCAATTAAAATTATCCAGTTTAAATGAACGTGATCCATGTATGACAATGCGAATGATGAAAATGACAGTTGGAGTAATGCCAACAATAACAACAACTAGTAAATCAATGAATACAGGACAACATAATATCAATTGTGAATATTATGGTTTGAAGACAATAAATGAAACAAGAAATGCTTCTTCAATGCCTATGCACTCTGTTATTGGTTTACAAGTGAAACGTAATATCACTAGTAATGATAATGATAGTACAATTATTAACAATACAGATTGGAGAAGTGGATCAAAAGATTATCATCATTCACGTACTGTGCACTTTCATGATGTATTTACGCCAAGCTCTAGTGTTTGTTCTTCTCTCAAGTCTACTATATCAGAATTTGAAGATGGAAGTGAAATAATTGTAAGTGTATTTCTTTTTTCATGAAGTTTAATAGTTGTTTGACATAACAGTTTAATATATTCAGTCAGTCAGTCAGTAACAACGTAGAACTTCGTACGTACGTACATCAGTTCGAGTTGCCACACCACATTAGCACAGAGATGCACTTGTCGATTCAAATCCCGTAGGGGTAGAGGTAATAAGAGTATAAGCAGTAATCGGGAAGATTAGGGTTTGGAGATGTTATTTAAAGAGTATAATCCAGTGAAAGAAATTTGGAAAGAGGAAAAAAGGGACATGAAGAATTCAGAAGATTAGAATTTGGGAGAACACAGTTTAATATATTCATATTTTGTCGTAGAAATATCGTTCTAAAGCTATATATATATATATATATATATATATATATATATATATATATATGACGCGAGAGGGAAGTCTAGTGATAAATATATGGCGCAGAAGATAGTTTTCAATCCGTAACCTAATTGAGTAATATTAATTTACCTATTGGCCAAAGTTAGTAATGTAAATTATTGCATGTTAACTCAATAGTCTGAGCTCTTTCGGCTTAGCGCTTTTCACATGCCCTGAAGAACCTGCGTTCTATTCCAAGTGAATTCATGGATGCTCATCACTGACAAGTTCCATAGTGGAACGAAACGTCTACCCAATACTCTCTGGTTTTCGTCCGTTGTTTAAAGTGAGTATCGAAAACAGTGGTTAAGGATTTTGGGCCACATTGTTTTAAATCGTTCGCGATGGTGCAGCTTCATTCACTCTTCACTTTCTCTAGGATCCTAAGTATCTAAATTACCTTGTAGATTTTTTTAGTTTACCAAATTATATTTTGTAGAACCGTATCTTCTATGACTAATCTTCTTTATTACCACGAATACTGTAATTACATCTACTGTTCTGGGATTTGACCTGACAGTTTCATCTTACTGTACTAATGGATTATGACAACTGGAACTGATGTACGTATGAGCCAGGTTCTACTTTTCATATGACTAACTGACTGGAAGTGGTCGAAGGCTACAACAGCCTCGTACAGTATGTGGTAGTTATCTGCGCTTGGTGGGGCAATTAGGTTATAAAGTGTCTTTCCGAGAATCGACGTTCACTGGGTATGTAACGTAACGTCAGCTGATTTAAATTTACTCGCTTTAGATTGGTTCGGTCAGCTACAGCTAGCTGACGTCCCGCTAATTACCATATGCAATCTGGAAGACAACCCCCTGAACCAAAAGCATATACAACGAAGTTAATTAAACAGTTCTTAATCATCTTCCAGCTTGTTTTGGATTGGTGCTCTTCTATGAAAACAACCGTTCGGTTGAAGCCACGGGCTAAACCTGTTTTCCGCCCGAATAGACCAGTGCCATATGCGGCATTATCAAAAGTTAATGAAGAACTCGGTCGTCTACAACTACAAGAGGTTATCACACCTGTTTTTGGTTCTTCTTGGACAGCACCAACTGTGGCTATCAAGAAGACATATGGCACAACACGTATATGCGCCGATTTCTCTACAGGCCATAACGCAGTCCTTGAACAACATCATTACCCGCTGCCAACTCCCTCAGATTTACTCATTATGCTAAACGGTGAGAAGTTCTTCGTAAAGTTGGACCTCAATTATACTTATTGACAAATGGAAGTGGATGAAGAATCGCGAGAACTACTGGCCACTAATGCCCATCGTGGTTTGTTCCAGTATAACCGTCTACCATTTAGAGTTAAGACTGCCCCATCTTGATACTCATGGGACGAAGGCTGAGGACGATCCAAAACCTGATGCTATCGAGAACCACAACACTACCATCACAAACTATGTCTTAGGAGTTACCAAAGTACGAGGTTGGATGTTCGGTGTTCTCTCGGGACTACAGACCAAACATGATCCCTGGACTGAAGTGTGTGTAGTCGGAAGGTTAGAGCAAGTCATGCATGAAGTAGAGGTGAGAAGAGACAGATGGAGATGACACGGGAACCAGCTACGGAAACAGTTAGCCCCAGATCGCCTATCAAGAAACAGATATATCTCACTCGAAGTTCGGTTAGATAGCTTCAACTTACCCTCAGTCCCGACGGAAAAAGTCCAGAAGGTGACTACTTCGACAACGGCGGCAAACAGTCAATAATCAGGTGGACCCCAAGAACAAACGCTGTTAAAAAACAGAGGTATTGAGGATGCCAGATCCCCAGAAATCACTTGGTAAACGTCTCATTTTTGTAATTTTATTATTGGAATCCGAATTTCTCATTTTCGCACCAAAAGTGGCCATTTCACCTTCAGTTTGTATATCTCACTTGGAAAGACCTCAAATGTCATTGTTTCGTTTTCCCTTTTAATACTCTATTTGTGGTGTTTTTCGAGGACATTTTTTGTTTTGTATATATACACATGAGTTGTGTTCTTGTTCGTTCGTGCTTCTGGGCTGCTTGTGGAAGATGCATTTTTCTGGCTGAATCTGGCCTTCTCTCTCTAGTTAGGAGGGCTGGGTTGCAGTGGAATAGCTGAGAGTATCCTGTTGTTGTTTTGCTGACTTTCGTTCCGTTCACCGGTTCTAGGTGATATCGTTAGCTCTTCAAGCGTAGCAGTTTCTTGTCGTACAACACGAATAAGCATAATTATGTGGATTGGATCAATCCCAGAATCACCTCTGAACAAGGCATAAGATCAATAAATCAAGTTATTGACGGGTTTAAATGATCCATGGTAAACAGAAATTAAATTATTGGCTTATGATCTGTAAGACAATCGTAATTAATGGCTGAAGACTTAAAGTAACATATTTACAAATTTACCGCAGCTTTTTGATTACATTCTCGATTTTCTTCCGTCTTTTTTTCCTTATTTTACGTACTTTTCATTCCCTTTAACCTCATTTGCTCATTTGTTTTGAAAATATCTTTTACTTGTACACTTTTTCACTATCACTGATCGACACTGTTTGTTTCTATTAGTTTGGTGTCATAATCTTGTTAGTTTTCTTCTAATTGTACTGCTGTAAAATTTGATATTTGCTATATGCTTGTGCTAATTTGTGATTGATTAACTGTAGTTTTGTGAAATACATATACAACTACAAACAATCTACAAGTACTGTGAACAGTCGAATTACAAATGAAAAATTAACATATTTTATTTACCATTGTTTAATCAAGAACTTCTCTTAGACCTCTTTTGGAAGCCTCAAGGTATTGAACATGTTTCGTTTTAGTATAAGACCATTTAGAAATGCTTATTCATTTCTCTGCATCCGGAAGTCGAACCTAGGACCTTCGGTCTCGCGCGCAAACGTGCAGATGTCAAGCCAATGTTTTCAGGTTTTCATTACTGGTTTAACTATGGTCAGCTCTTGACTTAAGCACTATAAAAATCACACTATCTCCATAAATCCTTCTGAAATAACGTTTCACTTAGTCGATAGAATAGTAATGAAATCTTCAAAAAATGTGACATGCCAGCACAAATTTAAAAGCTAGTCTAGCAGCTTCTAATTGAACATTATCAATATTAAATTTTTAATTTTAAAATTTATTGTAAATTTCGATCGTTTTCAGACGATGAGAAGCCTTGATTTGTAGTGTGACTTCATTTGTATTTTTGCAAGTCTTATTGCCCGTTATTTATAATTCACTATTGTTTTCAAATCTTTACCAGCCTGTTGTTTAAGCTTGAAACATTCTTCAATTTCAATGTGGAACAAGAACAATAAATTCTGATTCATTTCTAGTGGTTGTTTGAATCTTCCCATTGATGTTTAGGATTGCGATTGAACAGTCTTATGGACATATGAACTCGCCAGTTGAATGTACCCGCACTCTAGTGTTGATGCTCATACCAGAACTCGAACCTAGTACATTTCCATTAAAAAAAACCGGTGCGTTATCTACTTGGATACTGAGTCCAGTGAGCCGCTGGCTCGTGGAACTGATTAAATTTCAATTTATTTTAAATCTCATTCGCCTCGTTGAAGTTATAGACTGTTCTCCGTGTTTGAAGTGGAATGTACTGTGTTCGAGTTCAGATGTTAACATCAACACTGGGTTGTAGAAACATCCGACTGACGAGTCCCAGATAAGACGAAACGCACGTCTTATATTTCATCACTAGCCACTATCGAAATAAGTTTCAATGCTGTTAGCTTACAGCAAGCGATGAAACTTCATTGTAGTAGGATAGATAAATGGACTATTTCAGAGGAAATAACCATCCATAACTTCATAGTCAGCCTTCCGTCATTTTATAATTGTATTCAATATTCAATAGACATTATTTTCGGACATGCAATCATACCATCCCCATTTCATTTTCCCCTTGTTTATCTACTTAAAACTTAAATTCTTAATCTAAACAAATAATATTTATAGATGAAAATAGATCCTAACAATTATCTTATTTTATAATTACCCTATTATTGATATATGCTGTATAAGCCCCTTCTTGTTCCGAATGATATACACAACTGTAATACATCGTTAATTAAATAATGTAATTAAAAAAATCCTTTCTTTTTTTAAAGAAAAAGGAATATTTTACAGAAGAAATAAAAAGTTACTTTTTTCTTTCAGAATAGAAAACAAATAAACAGAGAATTGAGTAACGTTTTCATATTAGCTGATATTGTTTTCAAGCAGTTTTAAGTTGAATAAAAAGTAATTTCATTCGATTCATAACACATACACACACACACACTGGGTAGTATGAATATTATCGAGATTATTTTATTTGTCAGTGGTTGTAGTACACAATACACTTTTAATGGATTAATAAAGCTAGCAGCCGATTTTGAATCATGTACTCTTTACTGTATACATGTATATGTGTGTTGATTATGTTTTAAAAAATAATTCTATTTGATAATATTTCTATGGTTATAAGTAATATTTTCTAGAACCCCTTTGATTTACAAAATATAGATTCATGTACTCTTATTCAAATCATGCTGTTTAATGACTAATTATACTTACTACCTGGTTATCAAAGTGAACTAGTAAGTTTTTATAACTGGAAAATGACTCCGTCAACACTGTTTGAACTGTTTGGTTGACTGAGTTATATTCGTTTTGCCATTGTTGTATCCAGATAGTCAACTTTTATATCTTAGCGGTTATGACGTTTCGGCTCTGTTGAGCCCCACAGTCTTACTTCTTTTCACTTAACCCATTGGGAACCAATGTAATTCCTTTATTCTACTGCTTCTACCAGGAGAAGGAAACCTCTACAATTCACACGATGCAAAGTAAGAACATGAAAGAATGGTGCAACGAAGTTTTATTTACACCTCAAAAACACGTTTCCAAACAAATCCCAAAATCATATCGTCGTTGATCAAAATACAATCATTTGTATTCTAATTTTTACATATAAAAGTCATCACATAGGGAAGGGGAATACATAGAGTTACTATTGAAACGCACACTCAATATAGTTTACCTGAATTGATACAGGAAATATAATTCCAATGAAATAATTTCACTCGTTGCATAATCTCATCTTTTTCTCCAGACAAAATAATTTATATTTATAATGATTTAATGAATAACTCATAGAAATGGTTCCCTTCATTAACTTAAAGGGACTAAGAATAAGCATTTGATCAGGTTAATATGAATTCATTTTATTTCGTTAAACTTATCAACTATACCTACAAGTTACAATATATTAAAATTAAACTTATGCGCATAAGTCAACTGAAACTGATTCGAAATAAACGTACATATGTCATCATGGTAGAGCAATGTTTTTGACTGAAGTTAAGAAAATAGAAAAAACAAAAGAAATATTTGATTTGTTCGTCTGATTACCATGATCAATTAACTAATACATTGAATGAGACAAATGATTGGCTTGTGTAAATGACTCAGATTTATTCAACATTCAAATTGATTGGATTATACTACTTAATAAATTAGTCATCATTGGGATGAAAATTATAAAATCTTAATATCTCACTCTAGTTAATCACAATAGAGATTCAGTGCACTTCACATCAGTGTTTCTGTTAGCTAGTAATAGATTTGACTCTGAACAAGATGTCAATGAATTGCACGGTTAGTTGACTAATGAAAAATTACTTATGCGACTTTTATATCTAATTCCGACATTTTAAGCACCTTCATTTATTTAAATTAGTATTATGAGTGATGTTTATTGTCTTATGCTCGTCTGAAACTATTAAACCATATATTCGTATGTATTTATTACATAATCTACCATGCTTTTACTGACAGACTTTATTATTCATCTTTTTTTATATCTATTAATAGAATCTTGAGCCGAATTCGTCTTCTCTCCATCTCTGTAAGTTGGATTTCCGTTTCTCTCTGTTTTAGAATTGATTTATGTATGCATTAGTGATAAAAATTATGTTCTTATGCACTGTTAATTATCACGTGATAAGATAGCCAATAAGAATGCCGACTCACATGACCTTGGCACTGTGCCAGACCAATGACGCGTTAGCCAGTACGAGCAACCTAGAATCAATTCTAAGTCCTTATTGGTTCTTCTCGCCTAGCTCTGTTCGTTTGTATCCAGAACACAATCTCAACTTCCACTATAGGAATCATATATTTCAGATATACTTGACCTATATACAAGCGAATCAGACCACATCATACTATAAAGTAGAAAATAACAATTTTACAAGATCACGCCAAAAAGTGGTTATGAGTGTGAGAGACTGTAACTAATAGATTGTGGATAAATTAATAATATTAAATCGTATAATAGTGGTCAATAGGTCGAATGGAAGCTTATAATAAAAAGAATATAAATATACATATAATATATTCACTTAGTAGTTATCCAATAGGAATATATGTAATAACAATCCGCAAATAATTCCTAGCAGTTACCATTCATTCATTCTTCGTTAGGATGTAACAACAATGATTATGGTAATCAATATTTTCACGTGTTATGCAAGTTGCCAATCTATCTGTGGTTAATTCGTGGTGTAAACAAACCTCTTACTCCGGAAATGATCATGTGCTCACTAATAATTAATTTCGAGAGGTGATACCCGAGATTCTAATGACATGTGACCAGTGAAGTGCGACCATGACTGGTCTAAGGAAGCTACCCACCAGTTGCATTAAAAGATGTTTTCATAATATCGCGAACCAATCAAAATTATATACATAATCTATTTTGATCCCAACTCAGTGATATGAACGTTAAGCGTTCATATCATGACCTAAAGGCCCTAAATTCAGTTCGCAATAGGGTCTTGAATGCTCATTGCTGAGGATTCTCATACTAGGAGTAAAAAATTGTCCAATGTTTCCTGGTTTTCAGTGGTTATTGTACTGAGGTAATTTTGTAATATAAACTGTGAAGCCCAAAAATTCTTAAAAACCATTGACATTATAATAACTTATTGATGAATTTCCTATTTCTCACTTCTTGAAATAATAAAATAAAATGTATTGAGGCCCTAATTCTACGTATGATTAAAATTGTAAATCTTCCGCAGTATTCTAAATTGGCTGTCAATAGAAAACTACCGCTACTTACGCATATTTTACGATTAATTCTAAGAACATAATAGGAAACTTTAAATCAGAGATGGCAATATCGAGACGATTCTCACAGGATGCACATGTGCCAATATGAAACTGATCAATTGCAGTAACTCATTATAAAATTGAGTTGGGTCATTCGCTTTTTCCTCTGAGCGTCCATTCGTTTCGTTCCGCCTCGCTTCCTTTATTCCTTCTCTCTGATTGTCTGTTCAAACTAACGATTGTATGAAATATACATTTTCAAACTTCATTGTCGTATTTATTTAATTTACACGTTAAATAAGGATGACAACATTCTCTATTATGCAACTGAAATTATTACTTTTAACCATTCATTTTTGTTAACTTATGTAATTGAATAAAAAATAATAGTAAAATATTCTTTCATCAAGAGAAATAACAAACAATATTCATACGTGTTATATTGTAGGCCTTAAAACTCTGCAATAACACCAATCAATCATCAGTTATGATTGTTATTTGTAACAATAATGAATAATGTTAAACACCATTAAAAAAAATAACTAATTATTAGAAAGAAGAAAAAAAAGTATGTTTACAATTCCACACTAACTACATTCAATTGTAACATTGTTTTAATCGACATTGGATTATCTTATCTCTAATCTTTCAACTTTCTACTACCCTATATGTTAATGTTTCACAATTTTGAACATACCATTTATGTTACGTAATGATGATGGTGATTTTTTGTTTGGAGATTGTTAAATACTTCAGATGTGATTTTTCCTTATGGGATAACATCATTCGAAATCGTGAAATATCATCCATTTGTTTCGTCCTCATTTAGGATGTCTCAGAATTGTGCCATACATCTACGCAACCTTAATAAGTATCCAATCAAAGAATTGTAGCTCTTGTGACGAACACAATTTCTTTGGACTGCTAAAAACAGGGATTCAGTGATCATCAGTTTAATATAAAGAGTTCAATATCATCAATCAATTATTACTCTCTGATATTGCTGCCTAGTACCTGAATGCTAATCTCTAACTCCTAAACGCTTACCAGTTCCCAAGAGATTTCCTACACTTGAATCCTAAACACAAGACAAAGAACGAAAATTATGAACAGAGAGTTCTAAGCTTTTTCTGCGTATAAAAGTAACCCTATTTCTAAGTTTGTTTGTGACCATGATATTCTAGAAGCTTACAGAAACCCACTAAAAATATTAGTTACCCAGTTAAAGTATGATACATAAATTATCGTATTTATAAGGTCGACCTAATGACTTGTGATCGCATTTTATCCCCTTAATGGAAATGAGTCATGGATAGTTCATATAAGCCACTAAAACTCATATATTTGTGTTGGTAACAAATTTATTTATTGTTTGTTTGAATAGTTTGACACAATTTTAATCAGAATTATGAATTAATCATGGTAGTGATAAACTGACAATGTTGCCGAGACTATAATTTACGGACTAACCAATCAGATTTAGGATAACAGGTCTTGGATTTTGGAACCAAATTCATTCATTCATTTGGTTAAATAGAGTTTTGGCTGGTTAAAGGTAAATACAGTGGGTTTAAAATGTCATGAGATATAGGTCAGAAAACATGGTGTAAAATGTACCAGTGAAATGAACGAAATCTTTCTGAGATTTTGTTTTTTTTTAATGCCAAATCTTTATATTTTATATTCCTTATTTTCAACATTACTATTTGAATTCTCTACCTGATTCTTTTTTTCTTTTTACATTATACCTTCATAATATTCTCCTTTTCTTTTTCATAATGTATCTTTCAGTGCATTTCCTTAGGACTAGATATACTATTCAGTTGTTATACATTAGTAAATTGTTGGTTGAATTTCTCTATTCTATTTGACTTTAGGCAGGTTAGACAAACGGGTAATATCAGTTTATATTTAATTGTTAAGTTACATTATGTCTACTATTTTATCAAATTTATATTTATAAAAGTATATTTATCCTTTCTTCTTTCGCTATTTTTGTTTAGTATCTGCAAGTGCTCCAGCTACAAATTATTCATTAAATTCTATGTCAAATGTATCAAAATTCAACGAAATACAATCTTTTCATCAACATTATCACCATATAGATCATCCCTATCATCCTCATCTCCATCATCATCATCGTCATCACCACCATCATCATCAAATTAATAATAATAATAATAATACTGCTACACCTTCAACATGTACATTCAACTTTTCATCAGCTTCATTTCCTTGTTCTGTAGATGATAAAGTTGACCATATAAATGTACTAATTAATCAATTTAATGTACCATGTAAAACAGTATGTTCGTCTCCGTTTTCTTCCTCTTCTTCATCAACATCATGTTACTTTTGTTCAGTTTGTTGTTCTTGTTGTCTATTTGAAGTAAATAATTCTTCATATTCACATATTCAACACTTACATGACCGTTTACCACCAGCAAAACGTGTTTGTCGTTCAACAAGTTCAAGTTCTGATATACATTCACAGACATCTTCATCATATGGTTATTCTTGTCGTCCGTTTCCATTTATAATATCATCTTGTTCATGTTCTTCATCTTCTCACATACCACCACCGCCGTCATCAGTCTCATCTTATCGTCATTGTGATAAATGTAATAATAACAATAATGGCAATAATAATAACAATCAACATAGTTCTTCAGCCATGTTGAAAACAATGCAGTCATATATGAGGACTCTTCCACGACCAATTGCAGTACGATTAGATTCAAAAATGGCATATAATGAAAGGTCAAAAAGTTGCACTAATATGGATAACGTCAAATTATTAAATTCTAATGACAATAATGCTAATAATGGTGGTGGTACCTTACGAAATAATAATAATACTCCTAATAATCATGGTGTTATTCTACGTCCAAAACCATCGGATTTAACCTCTTCTAATAAAATGAATAATGGATCACGTATTAGTTGGCATCATCCATTGTTTAACTTTGGTTCTGGAGCTGCTCAAACTAAGTGTAACAATAATAATGGTAATAATTTATCTTCACAAGCTGAAGTTAATGAAGTCACTATGCAACATAATAACTCTCCTACAGACTTTCCACAAGCACATTCAGATAATTTACAAAAATCTATTCGTCTACGTAATCGAACTACACATAGTAATAGCAGCGGTGGCAGCAGTATTAATAATAATAATAGTAATACTAATAATAAAAGTCAGTTCGATCGTGTTCATCATCGTCCAAGTCATATAGAAATTAAAGATTCACACGACTCTTCATTGTCAATTCATGCATTGCCTAGGTATGTCATTACATAACTGATTTGATTTCTCTCTTAAATTTTAATTTGCTTTCTGTCTAATAAGATATTTGGCTATTTAAATGGTTTTATGCTAATGTTTATTTTATATAAAAGTGATTTTCATCACCAGTTAATATAAAGAATTCAACAATTGTTTCATTACAGTTTGCGATTCTGTTTGGGTTCACATCAATAATCGATCTGTTTACGAGATAAAAACCTAGTTTGTTTATGCCTCGAAGCCAGCAAGACAGGTTTTTAACCACTGAGTTGGAACCGACATTTTTTAAATTCAGTCACTTGGTAATATATAATTTTATTTTATTTTTTATTTCAACACATACATAATGGTACAAAGAGGCACCAAATACATATGCGCCACACAAATCTCATTCGATATGTGTGAGGGCTGTGATACTGCCCGGGTGCCCAAACCGAAGGAGGTGGTTTTCTTAGGGGGCCACACCTTGAGCCTTCGACCTGAAGGTCTGATCCACAAGGCAGTGGAGCATCGTAAGGAGATGCAGTCCTATGGAAGCCGGTGACCAACAATTGGTTCATACGCCATTTGTTCCCGCAGGATACTGTAGCCCATGTGCACCATTGGTTTTGAATCCGGTTAAAGCGCCGGACATTCGCTTTTCGTCCTCTCATTTTCGTAAACAACACCCCCGCCACGAGAAGGCAGTGAGTAGGACTTCCCTGGCAGAGGCTATATACGCGTGGCCGTGTGAGAGCATTTCGAGAGGAAGAGCGGACTCTCCCCACTCTCGGCCGTATATATTGTTTCTCTACTAACTTTTTTGGCTCTACTGGTTACAGCATACTTACTTACGCTTGTTACCCCTCGTTTAACATACATCCGCTGACTAAGAATTTTCAAACATCTCTGTCTGAGCTCTCCTTTCCAGTTGTTGTCAAGTTTCATTCATTCTTTTGATGTATGTCTCCAGTTCCCAGTTCAACGTTTACTTTGGTCTGTCTCTTTCATTTTTAGCTTGAGGATTTCAGGTTAGGGTTTGTATGACGATATAGTTTGATGGTTTCCTGAATGTTTATTCTATCCATCTCCGACATCTTTTTTTAATTCCCTATTCAATTGATCGTATTGCACCATCTCAAAGTCTTTATCGATCAATTAATTTAACTATCTCTTCGTTCCAGTACTAGATTAACTGAAATATTGTACGAAGATCTCTACTACTTCTCAATTTCACTACTTTCTGTTCACAACTTAGATATGGTCAAGTCCTACATAACACTTCAGTCTTAATGTTCATTTGGTTAGGCCTTAAAATGATGATTTGTAAGCCACTGATTAAAATCATCTTGCCATATTCAACATGATCATCTGAAAATTCAAGTTTTTCAGGTTTATAATTGTTTATGTATCATTTAACTATTTTTATTCTATAAGTCATAATGAATAATTTAGTGTATGCAAATAAAAACAATAAAAAAATCCATTTTATGTAAACAGTAATAATAATAATAATAATAATAATAATAATAATAATAATAATAATAATAATAATAATAATAATAATAATAATAATAATAATAATAATAATAATAGAATAATTTCGTCTGTATTTCGGCAAGACAACAAATATTTACCTATCTAGTTTATTGTCTTCATATTTAAACAAACTTTTCAACTATATGTAATTATTTGGTATTGTTAGTTCTTTCGTAAATCTAAGTATAATTTATTTCTGTGCAACATCTATCCAGAAATTTTTAATTTTTCTATCGCACATTTTTGAGTTGTTTTTTTTTGTATGTAATTGATCATGTCAACCTAAAACACATCAGCCACTACACCTTCTAACCATCTTAATCTATACTTGTGTTTATTCATTACTGAAAAATATAGTGTCTTGTAATCTTCTTACGTGCGTAAGGTGCTGATTAAATTGGATTTTCATGATTTAGTCTTGATAATATATGTAAAGCGTCATTGTGAAGTGGTCTACATTCTTGGACAGACTTTAATATAACCTAATGGTTTAAAAGCAAAGATGGATCATGGCTAGCAGTGGAATCCAAGACGCGCGTTTCGTCCTATAAAAGCTTGTGAATTAAGGCAATATCGAGGCATACGCACAGTATGCGCATATACCAATAATAGACTGACCAATTGCAGTCTTAAATTTCAATGAGAAGATACAAGCAAAACAATACCAAGTGAATTTAAATTCACCCCATTGCACAAGCAAGTGGTTATCAGGACTCAGTAGCTGAGTGGATAACGCGATGGCGTTTGGAGCGAATGGTACTGGGTCCGAGTTCCAGAGTGAACATCAACTCTGAGATGCAGGTACATCCAGCTGATAAGTCCCAAACAGGACGAGACGCGCTTCCTGGATTCCACTGCTAGCCACTATCCGTCTTTGCTTATAAAAGCTTGTGAATTAAGGCAATATCGAAGCATACGCACAGTATGCACGTATGCCAATAACAGACTGATCAATCGCAGTCTTAAACCTCAATGGGAAGATACATGCAAAACAATACCAGGTGAATCTAATGGTTTAATGTTGAAAAACCTAACCTGTATAATCCAGTAGTTTCTTGATTTGTTACAGTCAGTTATTCATGTTGATTTTAAAGAGGATCAACTTCCAGTTGTCTCAAACCTTTTAGAGATAGTGTTCGATTTGTAGTTTGAATCGCGGATTGATTTTAACTGGATGATCATTGAAAACTAGAGAGTACTAGCCATTTGTTTCATTCGAGGTTGGTATTTCCCATCATTAAATACCCACAATCTTATCGTCGATCGAGCAGAGAAAATGCAAGTTATCGGATGGCTGCTCAGTCGTCTAAAAATAATGTACTCGTCATGAGGCCTGAAGATCGTGGATTAGACTCCTGTCTTTAACCTTGGGTTTACACGGCTATAGGGTCCCATACTAGGAAAAAATAGTTATTCAATGCTTCTTTATTTTCAATGGTTTTCTGTCTCAAGTCAACCTGCTACAGAAACGGACAAACTTTCCTTTATTTTTTTAAGTGTATATTATTCGGTCTCTGTTAGCAACAAATCTTCTGACTGAACGTTTGAATCGGTTTCCTGAGCTCTTCTAATAATACAGAACCAAATCTACACGACAACTTGAACACGAGAGAAAAGACCCGAAATATGGAAAGAACGCCTTACTTCAAGGTTCGTTTATATACAGAAAATTGAGAGTATTTATAGCATTTCAAATGGCCACTGGCTTCTGGAAAGTTCTGAAGCCCTTCTAGACATAGTAGCAGGATAGGCAATTTTCCAATCAGAAATGTGGCACGCGACTCCACTTTCTAGATGTTTCTGAGAAACTTCTATTGAGTGCTGATTGGATAAGATGTTCTCCAGCGTTTTCAGGGCTGCTTTGGGTTCTTTTCGATGAATTTTCTGGGTCTCCCCAACAGTTAGGTCTTATTCACTTTTTTTTACTTACCCTTCAGTAGTGTTTTGTTCATGAATAATCAAATTATCTACGTTAATTTTATAATTTTATGATTATAATCGTGATGCATGCAAAAACTGTGAACTTGAACAGTGTATACTGTGATTTACTAAACACAGTGTTGAATAATCTTCCTTTCACTCAACACACCTATATCCCAAAAGTTCGAAATCGGATCCACTTAATTTAATTCACACTACCAGTTATTTATATATAGTCATCATACAAAAGGTGTAACTTAAATCCGAGTATATAAACCCTATACTTGGTAAACGAGTTGCAAATTTTCCATTGTAATGATACCTTTGTTGTGTGTAGTGATCATTTATAGCTCTTAAGTAAAGTGTACTAATTGTATACTATTCAGTTGTTAATCGGTGTTTATGCAATATTGATAAAAAACAGTGACGTAATATATAAGCTCATAAAACTGATTGTAAATTAAGGTAACTTCGTGATCATTGATTTGTTTTTTTATTATGATTAAACTAAAATTGTTTGTATTATTGTCAATCTTGAAATAGACAAATACTTTTATTAAGTCTTATTTTAAAAAAGGTCTTACCAACTATCACTTTTTGTTACTCTGGTGTGATGTATATTTGTCTATCAAAGAGCAAGTATAGTGTTCTCCATTTCGCTTTGTATTGCTTCATAGTTCTGAATTATGAACTATAGAGTATTATTTGCATATTATGGAACTACCAAGTGAATAGTGTTGTCAACAGAAGTAAGTCTAGTAATGGGGCTGTAAATCTACATCGATTAAAGTGACTGTACTATGAGTTATATATTCCCGCCCACTTGTCATAATTACCTGTGCAGAAGTGAAGTAGAAACTCTACAGATGGATATGAACAATGTTTACAGCTACAAATGCTACATCAAATATTCGGTACAACACAGTGCTAATTGCTTCACTACTCACTTTGAAGTAAGACGGATAATATGGAAAAGTCGCATCCATCCTTAATATGAATATAAATAATATTGTAATCGAGTGTAAGGTTTTCAATCTAAAGCAACCCGTTTTCACCAGTTGTATGAAATTGCATTTTTTGAATCGAATAATGTATAAAGTGCTGACATTTTTCAGTCCCTGCCTGCCACCGTACTTCATTATATAACTCTATTGAATGAATTATTAAATAAAGCTTGATAATTATTAGTATGAGATTGTGGAGATTGTTAAATTTTATTTAAACTGCAAACGGATCTAAGTTAAACAACAACTGAAAACTCTGGACGGCTGTTTCTTCTTAGTACAGGACTCCTCTGGAATACTCACCCCAGAATCAAACCGAGGACCGGTCTCGTGTGCGAACCCCCTAGCTATAGACTAATATGCTGGGATCCGATGGTGTACAATATATGTATGGAATTATTTTCACTGAAGTCAGTCCTTACTGAGCTATGATATTTATTGCCAACACGTAAGGAATAGAACATTTGCTTTCGATCGCATTTTAATTGGTTAAAATAACTACTAGTGTTTCCTTTCTTCATCTAAGTTTCTCTAGCCTATTATGCTTGGCGTATTATTGATTATTTTTTGGCTAATCTCTCGTATTGACCAAAAATCCCGACTAACTTTAACCTGGCTATCAGACATGGAAGTAGAGGGAGAGAAAATAGCTTTGGCTTAGGCCGTCATTCTTGTTATACCCCTTTTTTAGTAATTTGGATATACAAAAATGTTGGCTGGTTGCCAAACGTGTGCGTGTGTTTAATCATGTTATAAAAGAGAGAAAAATACACGAGCATATAAAATCCAGAAATAATGTTTAGAAAGCATGCCATATATATAAAAAATAGGTGGAAGGTATTTCTACGTTTTTGTGTATCTGTTTATTCATTTTGTGTGTATGTGTGTCCACATATTCTATTGGTATACAATATAATAAATTACTAGTCTAGTCACTAGTCTATAGTATCCACTAAGAGTGAATATTGTTGTAAACGTGTTTCGATTACTATTACTAATTATAAATTAGTGATCAATTGATAGCATGAATGAGAAAATATATTCAATTAGTATTTTTGTTTGCTTCATTTTCTAACACTTGTAAGATCGACGTACATAAAATAGTTTATATCTTTATAAATTAAACAAACCCTTAGATAAATGGATACATTTTAAGTCAATTAATGTTATATTTATACGAATATTCGTCAAGATTAGAATGAATAGTTTGGGCGCCGAGTATAGAGAAGTCATTATATGTGAAAATTGTATTTGAAATAATCTCAGTGACTGAAATTTAAATAATTCCAATGTTTCGTCCAGATCGTACTTCTAGAGATCAGTCCTGTATTACGTATCACCAAGACGTCAAACAAACTTGACCCTGGCCAACCAACCGCTATGATAATCAGTGCAGCCTGGTCCTGAGAGTGAAGCGGGTGTGTGACTGCCCGTCTGACTAGCTTCTCACGAAGTCTGCTCGTGCTAACCCTGAAGAAGTCCAGACAAGTTAGCTAGACGAGACGTTGGAATTATTTAAATTTCAATCACTGAGATTGTTTCAAATATAATTTTTACATATAATGAATTAATGTTATACGTATTCAATATTCAATTGTCACCTGTTAATCTTCAGTTATTTGACGATTATTCAGCTTTTATTTTTCGAACAACAATCTCATATCTCATTTATAGTCACATAGAATTATACGCTTTTCCGTACAAACAAGTGATAGATTATTGTTCAAATGTTATAAATTCTCAGTGATCAGAATTGTATCATTTAATAAATCTACATTATTCTTGCTGAATATGTTGTTGCTACAGTTCACAGTGTGAATGTTATGATAATTATGAGAAATATTATTTGTGCTAAACAATTCTTGATTTGTAATTAGTTAGACTACTAATATAAATTCTTTGGATTGTGTCAGTTGTGAATCCCAAGAAACCGATTAACATACAGTTATAGAGGGATTTTACATTAAGCATTTGTATTAACCTTCTATTAAACTTCAGCTGTATAAAAATCACTCACAACTAGTCTACTCATACCGATCAACTGAGGTCGTTAGGGCATATGTTACGTAGGTCTGATGACCACTTATTTCGATGCACTATTTTCCTGTTGGAAGAAAGCCAATAGTGACCATTCAAGCATGTGGCATCAGTCCATAAAGTCACTGACTGTTGAACTGAGGCATATTAGTAATTGCAAACTACCAATTAGGCTTCTCGCTATTATCATGATCAATGGCTGTATGCATTATGTGACATGGCTCAGAGTCGATTGTAATGACCCAGATGCATTCACTTGTTGTCTTCTCTTAGGTCTTGATTTTCATTTAAAAATCATATTGTATTTTTGATTTTGCAAATTCTTTCTTACTTCTCGTATTATATTGTTTATCCCTAATGTATTCTATCATCACTAATACTACTTTAATATTCATCTTGATAATTTGATGTAACGACTTGAGACGATACACAAGTGCTCCTGGCTCTATGTTACCTAACTCTGACTGAGATGTTACTAAGCAGATTAAAATAGTTGAGTGTGCTATGAAGAAATTTAGAGGTTGAGAGTTGTATAAAGAAATAAAAGTAACCGCATAAAGTATGACACAACTGTGTATTAGTTAATTGGTATTCCTTGGAGATGACTGGATTTTATGTTCAGAGATTTAAAAAAACCTCTTCATTGAATACAGTTTTCTGCTTTCATAAATAGTTTTTAACAAAAAGTTAGCCATATTTGAGTAGTGTTGCATAGTTCAGTCGTTCACATTTAATTGTAAACTGCCATAAATGTAAATCAATTCAACGTCTAATTAGTCATGTCAAACTAATTTACAATATTCTTTCATTCTACTTGTTTTTCTCTCTAGTCCTTCATCAGCATTCACTCCAACCAGGGCATCATTTGGTAGTTTCCCAATGGATGTTAACTTTTCCGAATTTTCACTTTCTCCTACTACTGAGTCAATATCTTCTTCAATTCAAATAACTACTCGAACTCCTTCATCTGGATTTTATGAAGCCTCATTTTTCGGCTTGTCTGAAGCATCTAGTTTGCCAGATTGTTCGAGAGTAAGTGATTTAAATGGAATAGATAAGGCCATTTCCATTTGTTGCAATTTGATTTTTTTGTTCATATTGACTCCTATAATTTCTGTTCCCTAAATTTTAATACGAACTACTTATATATCGAAATTTCATGTTTTTAAGCTTGAATTTATTCAAGAATATTAATTTTTATCTACATTTAGGTAAATAGTCCAGCAACTGTTTTTATAATTGTTTATAAACGAGTTTTCCCCATCTATTTTCATCTGTCACTTTGATTTTTACCACAATTCTGTTAACTCCTTTAATTATCGTATGTGTGTACTAATACACAATGGACCTTTAAAAGTACTGAACTTAACCTTATTTAACTACTGAGATTTATTTAAGTAGCTAGTGCTGTCGAGTAAATTATAGATTTCCCGATATTTGGCGCTCATCACAGTCTGCGGCTGCTCCACTAAGTTTTTCGTAGCGCTATTTATCTTCTGTAGGACTGAGCTGCGAAAATTCGTTCAATCAGACTCACACATACTGTTACATTAACATTCCAAATTACACCAAATACGTAATATAATGTGCTTACTCCCATTCAGAACATTGATGCTTTTATGCCACATCTTTGTTCATCAAAAAGATAACAGAGAAATTTATTTTTAAAAGAAATATACGACTCGGCGTGATAAGTAAGCGTTGAATTGAAATGACAGATTGTGCATTGAAATTATATATATATATATATATATATATATATATATATATATATATAGACTTCTACCCTGTTAATTATCATGTGACAAAAAATCATTAATTAGAACATCGACTTATATAACCTTGGCACTGTGCCAAACCAGTGACACGTTAGCCAGTACGAGCAACCTAGAATCAATTCTAAGTCCTTATTGGTTCTTCTCGCCTAGCTCTGTTCGTTTGTATCCAGAACACAATCTCAACTTCCACTATAGGAATCATATATTTCAGATATACTTGACCTATATACAAGCGAATCAGACCCCTTCATACTATAAAGTAGAAAATAACAATTTTACAAGATCACGCCAAAAAGTGGTTGTGTGTGTGAGAGATTGTAACTAATAGATTGTGAATAACCTAATAATATTAAATCGTATAATAGTGGTCAATAGGTCAAATGGAAGCTTATAATAAAAGGATTATGGATATACATATGATGGTTACTTAGTAGTTATATAGTAAGAATATATATAATGCAAAACTAGACTTCTTGTGCAGAAAAGTTATACGAATAATCCCAGAATTTGTCTAGATAAATATGATGGTTGCCACATACCTATGTGGACGATGTACTCTTTTTCCTGATCTTGTTCTAGTTTGTGCTGTTGCTGAAATTTGCCATAGAGTACTGTTTATTGCAGACAGTTTGTTTGGTGATTGCTCGGCTGTGAATTTAGACGATTTCATCGTTGTCTACTTTTCAGTGCTCTCTAAAACGCTGGTTTCACTCTATCGACGCTAAAAGGGTCATGTTTGCCTGCTGTTTTTACCGTGAATGTTTTGCTGTCTTCCCTGTTGATTTTGAAAAGACCGTTGTAAGGAGTCTTTGACGGCTGTTGTACTTTATCATTTCTGACGAATACATGTGAACATTTGTCTGATTCAATGGATACGAGTGATCTTGCTTTCCAGGTTAGTGGTTCGATGGTTCTAATGGATTTCATCTGCTGTTTAAATTGCCGTGCGTAGTTGGTTATGTTTGCTGGAATATCTGTTGCACAGTCAAAAATTTCACCAGAAAAACGTAACGTTGTTTCCTAAACCGACTCAGCAGCACAAAAGCCGATGTCTTGTTTGATAGTTGAGAGGATGGTTAATGATACTAAAGGAAGCTTGGCATCCCATTTGTAATCTCCCCCAGTGGCTGTCAATGGGTTTTTTTAGCTGTCGATGAAACCTTTCGGCCATCCCGTTAGCAGTCGGACGATAAGCTGTGGTCCTAATCCTTTTTATACCGAAATTGTCTGTAAGTTGCTGGAACAGCTTGCTTCCAAACTGGGCTCAGCGGTCGGTCGTAATTTTTGTTGGGACACTAAAGTTTATAATTCAGTGTTTTACCAATTTCTTCGCTACAGTTGATGCTGTCGTGTCTTTTAGCGGGACAGCTGTGGGCCATCTCGTGAATCTGTCTGTACCCGTTAGTAAATTCGTATAGCCATTGGAAATTGGTTATAGTCAAACGATGTTGATATGAACGTGATTGAATCTAGCGCTAGCGGTGCGAAAAACTCTTGTAGAAGATATCATTTGTCTACAAACTTTCGACTTCTGACATTTGATGCATTCTCGCGCCCATTTTCGTAAATCTTTATTCATGTTTGACCACAAAAACTTATTTGTATTTTGTGGGAATGCAGAGAATCAACACCGATTATGGGAACTATGACGTCAGCTACGATGAAGCTAGTCACCTTTTACCATATGTCTTGGTCTCTGGTTTGAATGGAGCTTGCAGTTTTAGTTTAGGGTCAGGTATGTTTTTCACAGGTTTAGTAGATGGTACTACACTAACCACTGCCCCAGTGTTGACTAAGAACTGTGTTTCAGTCTTCTTATCTGTAAAGTTTAACACAAACGACTACCTTAGGAATTGTGGCCGGCAACCGTACTTGTTGCTCATCGTCGGTCTTGACGTTTACCTGTCATGCGTTCGCAAAGTTACAGGTCAAAGTACACTTCGTCGCTTGATTGGCATAAATTTTGTGTTACCACCATATTTATATCGGCCAGTGCTTGGACTACGACATGTACGGCTTCTAGGTCTCCGTCTACACATGCAGTGGGGCATATTGCGAAAGCAAAGCGAAGCTAACTGATTGATGAGAACGTTGACTGTTGTCGCAACTCAGTGATTTCGTCAGTTTAGTTTGTGTGTATATGTGATTCAGAGTATCTCTTAGTTCTTATATTTTGTCGGCTATGTTTGATGGTCTATCAAAATTGACATCTTTATCTCCAATCTCTAATATTTGTTGAATGTTCTGAGAAAGACGTCTAAGCCATAACTATTATAACAAGCTTTTATCCACAAGATGATCACTCAATATATTTATTATCTGGTCTTTTAACTATTATAGTGTGCTATCATCTAACTGTACATTAGCTAAAAGTAGGTTCATTGTCTGCCGATCAGTCAGAGATGCGTCGCGAATTGCCTCTCTTTTTAAAATATCATATGGTGTTTCTGGATCTGGTTTGAAAATGGCATCACTCACTTGTTCTACAAAGTGATCTGGTAACAACGAGTTTGCATAACTAAAATTCGTGCCCTGACTTGTAATTCTGTAAGCAACAAAAAAGTTTTCCAACCGTGAAAACCACAATTCAACATTTCTGCGGTTAAAAACTAGTAAAGGTACAAAATTGTCACCCACGAGAGCAGACTTAGTTAAGAGTGTTATAGAATTATCAAGTGACATGATACAGAGGAATAATAGTAACAGTAATAATGATAAGTCAAAGATTGGAATATACAAAATAAGGCATTAAGAAATAACAGCATGAAATGTATATAAAGAAAGACTCACCGAAATAATAACCATTTATTTGTACGAATATAATACAATAACTCCGAAGAAATAATCTTATGTCACTTATGGCGAAGGCGAGATATCCTTTTATTAATAAAAGGACTAGTATACTGCGCGGCAGTTCGTTCTGTTCTACTTCACGGCTGCGAAATGTGGCCATTAAGAGTTGAAGATACTCGTAAGCTACCAGTATTTGACCACAGATGTCTCAGAAATATTGCTCGCATCCGCTGGGATCATCGGGTAAGTAATAGTGGGGTTAGACGCAGGGTATTAGGGAGCGATGGTAAATCAGTTGATGAGATTGCGAATCTTCATCGACTGAGATTGTTGGGCCACTTGTTACGTATGACTGAACACCGATTACCACGACGCGCAATGCTGACTAGTGTTGGAGATGGTTGGAAGAAAGTTAGGGGCGGCCAAACCAAAACGTGGCATCAGTGCTTGAAGTCACTAACTCCTAGTCTTGGCCATGTTGGTAGGTGCAGACTACTTGGTTGGGGTTTGCATGACTGTCGTATTCAATGGTTGGAGTCTGTGGGTGACATAGCTCAGACTAGATCACAATGGTGTAGATGTGTACACTCTTTGTCTTTCCTTAAACTGTGAGATTAAAATTGTTTCATATCTTTCTTTCTACAAACTAATTCTTTCTTTCTGTACTATATCCTTATTGCAATCTTTCTTTTATGTATTACCATCTCTGAATTAACTACTTTTATGAATCCGGTGTCCATCTTGTTGTGTTAATGCAGTATGGCAACTTGAACCGATGCATTTATGTGCCTGGTCCTATTTTGTGACTGACTGACTGATTGACTTATTAGGGTTGTCAATAAATTATTGATAATTATGATAATAAAGCCAATAAGAAATTCTTTACTATATAATTGAAGAATATTTTAACAGGCCTTTTTGAGAAAGAATGCATATTCTAATTGTGGTTCACTAAATATTCAGTTTTGCCACACTGAATCTTTAAAAATCTTACTTTTAATCTCAACAATAGGTTTCATACAGTCTTGTACGAAAAAACATACAGAGTTCTAATGTTTAATTTAAACATTAAACAGCCTATACAGTATTTGTTATATTTCAATAGTTTTAAATGCATTACATTGTGTACACCACAATTTTATGTTACTTTTTATCTATATAAATTCACTATGTATTTTCATGGTATATATATACACAATGTATTTTTGGGATTTTGAGGGTATAAGATGTAATGGATTTATTGAAATGTTTCATTGAGATTATATGTGAGATTTTTTGTTTTGGTAAGTTTCAGAGAAGATATCCCTATCCTAAATAAATTTAGATATTTGCCTTCGTGTGAATCAACTCTGCATATATGCAAATAACCAACTACTCTTAATGTTAAAACTACACATTTGCTCAACAAATTGTCTTTATAATATTGAGATAAATTCTATTGATCAGTATTTAAAAACTAAACATTTATAAATATATCATCACTGCTATTAACAACCAGATGTACCGACGTTTCACAAATCATAGTTTAGCATGTGAAGACATCATAAGGAACTAATATACTTTGTAAAATTTAGTTATCTATTTTATGTGAATTATTACTTGTTTATGGTTACAATTAGAAATCTTGTGTTGAGTAGATTAGATGGATTGTGGTTAGCAATAGAATGTAAGAAGAGCTTTTCATTTTATTTGAGAATTGTTAGTTGATGTTCATATTAAAACTTGAGTTATTACCTTTTATTTCAAATACCAAAGCATTGTTCATTGAACTATCAAGTCAAGATAGACACTAACGTTTTCAACAAGTATTATGTTGATATAATTATCCATAAGAGTTTACATTATTTCATTGTCAATATTCAGGACTGAATTTCAATCAACTTTTCAGTTTAGTCTTAAAAAAGACAGAGTAAAGAGAATGGTTTATTTTCAAGTTTTACCTCCTATTAAAGATGTTCATAAATGTTTCACTGTTCTCTTTTATTCTGTCTTTATTATAGTTTGGTGTATCTTCAGATTCTGGGCCAAGTTCTAATCATCATTGTAATTGTGATTGTCATCAACGTCGTCAACATTATCATCACCATCATAGACGAAATCAAACAAACACATCAATCGATATTAAGTCACTAAATCAATCTGGTGATATGTCAAGTAAACTGACAGATTTAGAACCATGCTTTAAATTAGAAGATAGTGAGCCTAATATTAATGATAATCATCAGAGTAGAAATGTTAGTAGTAGCAGTAGCAGTAGTAGTGATAGTAGTAGTTATTGTTGTAGTTATTCTTTACCATCAATGAAATGTATGCTTCGATGTTGTTCACAGCCTAATGATGATACAATTTATGATATTAATTATCGACATTCACCTCATTGCTCTAGAACCGGGAAGCATATACATCAATCACCTACTACTAACACGTCTACATTTTTCACTACTATTTCTACGACTGCAATGATGATGACGACTAAGACATCAACAACAACTTCCAGTAATATCACCATCGCCAACACAGCAGCTGGATTAAAACGTAGACGTGGACCAAGTGGTGAATGTAGTAATCAATATTATAGGGATACTGATTTTCACAATGAATCCAATAATTATCATCATCACATTCATGAGGAGGAGAGGAAGCAATTATTGCCACATGAGGAATTACCACCTTGTAATTGTTGTATGTTTAAAAGAACAATAGACCAATTAAAAAACAATTATGATGGTAAATCATTGTCTGACATTGAACATCTAAATTATATATCTACAATTTTATCAAATAGTAGATTAGATGATAACTTAGACTGTCACCATCGGCATCACTATCATCAACATCATCAGTATGCTTTTCCGTGTCATGATGTACAGCGGCATTCAATATTTCCGTCCACTGATCAACAATCATCAGTGATTCCTTCCTATTCTTGTTCTTCTTCTTTTGCCGCCTCGAAATGTTTGTCCATGTTTGATGCAAATAAATATCAAGATAATGCCACTTTAATTGAATCTGATGTAAATGATGAGCATTATCACTGTTTGTCTTCTACTGCATCATCAATAAAACACTGTGCACAGTCTAATTTGAAAAATACTACATTGATGACAGATAATAATGAAAATGGTAAAATTACTGAAACTTTAGACGATAATTCATGTTCTGTCGCCAGCTCTGTAGGAAATCCATGCTACATAACGTCATATGCGGATAAAAATAAATACAATGTAAGTTCTATATATTACGTCTCGTTTTGTTTGTTTTCTTTTCTGAAAAATGAGAATGTTTAAAATCATTTCCTTACTATGAAAACTATTACTAGTATTATAGTACTAGTTGTAGTTTTTTTCGATTTCAGTAACTAGTGTCAAGCCATAGTGAATACCACATATACATGAAACTAAACTCTATAAACTCTTCTAGAAAACAATAGACATTTGCTCACTAGTGATTTACTTCGTGAATGCATACTGTCGAAGAGTCCCAAGTTAGGATGAAACACCTGTTTGGTATTTTAGATAAATTGACCTGTATTCATAGCCCTACATTCGTCCACTCTCTATTTTGTTTATTCATAACATTCCTAAAATTCGGGTTCTCCAACTGCCTCATTGTTTTATCCACTATCGGACCAGATCTGCTCTTCGCATAATCATTTTGCATTCTGATGAATATAGTGAGAGTGATCTTCTACCATGGTGATTGAATCATTCTAGTTTTCAAATAAAATTTTTATGACCTCAGTCCAGAAATTTATTGATGATACCGTGGAAATCATATATTTAATTCATTAGTAGTAATTGAATTAAAGCAGAGAATTTAAGATAGGATTAACTAAATATGATAAGCGTCCAAGTAAAATGTTATTGATCGTTTCTCTATCTAAGTCCATAACTCACCTTCAGTATATATATAATCGAAAATGTTCATTTTATAATTTTGTTTAGGCTTATAATATCATTTGTGGACAGGAATATGAACATTGTTCTAGTGTTTTTTCTGAAGAAAACTTTATACATCGTTACATGCACAATGAATTAGGAAAACTTTATGAAATGACTGAAGATGAAAAGGAACATGAAACACCTGAAACAATGATTGATGAAAATAATAGTAATAATGGTAGAATATCTGAGACAAATTATCATCATCCCATAATTTCACTGTCATCGCCATCAATTCATGAAATTGCATTTACCCCAATTCATCCATCAACAAATATTGAATGGGATAATTCAGATGATAGAAGTAGTGATAGTTGTAGAATACCGGCATACAATCATCCAGATGTGTTGTTAAACGAATCAGTTGATACAACTTTACAAGATGATAGTACTGGTAGACAAGTGTTACTTTTTACACCATCAACGAGTTCAAACTCTGATAGAGAATCAGATGACATGAAAAGTATTCTTTCTCCACAAACACCTAATCGCCAACGTATCTCTTCAGACATTCTACAAAAAAAATCAAATAACAGCAAACAAACATTGTCTTTCACGGATCTGGACTTGGAATTGATCGAGAATGACTAAATTACGTGATGATATGTGTTTCCTCTCCAGATTCTCTTCATATTAATTTGTCATCTTCATTGGTAAAACAATTTATTCACTGAGTGAAATCAGTTAAATTAGATATTACTTTCATAGTATGTATTATAAATTTTGATATTTATAATATATTTTTTTGACTGTATTCATCTTATGAACTCTGCCTATGGCTTTTTTTTGTAAATTTGTACATATCAGAAAATATACTACCCTCAGATCCAACTCATAAATGTCCCATCATTATTTTACTTCTTAAATTCTTTTATCATAATTATAATATTTACCTCACAAGCGAAAGATTTCAGAAAACTTAAGATCGTTTAGAATGTGTGAATATTGGATGGTATCGGTGTAAATATACACCACAGACAATTAGAATCAAGAAAGTGATGTCTAGTTTTCCGGCCATGTAAGTGAGGTGAAGTGCCTGTTAAAATTCACAATCTGAAAGCCTGATATCGATTGTGTGTTTACCATTACCGTGCTTGTTTTTATTACAAACCAGGTTCTGTCACTGGAGTTGCACTGTCATTAATGGTCTAACTGACTACAAGAGACCTAGGTCCAAGGACATTGGGCATCTACTTTTGACTACTAAGCAAGAAAGCATATTGCACAAGGTAGATTCTTAAATACTAAACTCTGGATTTCAGCAACAGCCAATTACAATCAGTCCAATGAAGACCGTTTTTTGCATATAAATCCAAATTTCTTGCTAGCATTTGACTGGATAAATTGCGAAGCACTATAGCTCAAGAAAAGTGTTGACATAGGTGGGTACTTTTTCAGTGTGAGAAAAATAGGAATAATATTTCATCGATAGTCGTTTCTGATACACCTAGTTTATCCATCTTCGCTGGTTTTGATGTAGCTTAAAATAAGAAGACTAGATTACTACGCTATACACTAGAACGAGTTTAGAGAGTAGAGTCAAGAAAGTGCATAAACTAAAGCGTAGATCTGACTCACTTTGCTTTCAGTAGCTGAAACCACATCTTATGTACTTCATGACTACAAGGAGAGGATGACTGTGATGTCAAATATATATTTCACAGTTCTTGTGCTTAGGAAGGCCACCCATTTTTGTTTAGATCAACATCACTGCAGATACCGACCTTGTACTATATATGAGGAAACCTAACTCGGAAATGCATTTAACTGCTTTTGCAGTATAACCCGACCGTAGCTGCTACCTTAACGCGGTGGTCGGGCTTGCCTATCGTGATGACCCAACCGAGCTATATTGGCTGGAACATATGTTCCTGTAAGTTCTACCATGCCAGGAAAGATGATTGGAGAACGGTAAGACTAAAAGCAGCAACTCAAGGTCTAAGGGCGAAGTCGTACTGCTGACTGTAGAGGGGTGTGATAGCAGTAAGGTGTTTCCCTTGAACAACCAGCATCTGCAGCGATTCTGCCTTCCCACAAGGAGGGGTGGGGTTAGAAAAGGTCGACCCCAAAAATGCCGCACCTCACCTTACCTCACGGATTTCCGTCTCCGGCGGTAAGGCCCTTTGAAAATCGGAGCTAACACGACAAAAATCTCCAGCAAAAAGGCCGTGCGTGACCGGCCTCAAGCACTAGTCCCTTGGGCTCTGCGGTCACGCTCTCAAGCCGTCAAGGTCGACATTAATCGGAATTCCTTTTCAAGTTCCTCAAGAAATACCCTTCCACAGTGTGGGCAGCCGGGAAGTGACACCAGCCCTCATACCCGTAACAGCACACGAGACCAATTTAGTCACATTCAAATCCTTCCTACACCTCTTAATACCACTCTTATCTCCCCGACTAACCTTTCTCACATCCCTTTATCACCTCGCACTGCTGGGGCAAACGTTTTGAGTACGCGGAACTTTATTCCGGGTCTCCTGAAACCACGCTCTAAAATACATGTAGGAGCTTTTAACGTCCGAACACTATGCCAAATAGGACAACTGGCTTCCTTAGCTAGGACTTTAGAATCTTGAGCCATCGATGTGTGCTGTGTCTCCGAAACGCACATACAGGATCCGAGTAGCTTCATTCATTTGACATCATTATGTCAAAACAAAGAACCGACTCGATTCACACTTCGTGTATCTGGAAGCCCTGATTCTGCTTCCCGTGGCCTCGCCGGCGTAGGTATAGCATTGAGTCCTAGGGCAGAACTAGCTCTCTTAGAGTGGATTCCAGTAGACAGTCGTTTGTGCTCTGTCCGACTGAAAGGAACAGTAAGAATCCGGAAAGATAGAGACACTCGTCGTTGCCTCTTCGTCGTCTCTGCCTATTCTCCCACTGACTGCAGCTCAGATGATGTAAAAGATGAGTTTTACAGAAAGCTTTCCGACCTTCTCCGAAAAGCTAAGCGCTCGGATGTAGTAATAGTGGCCGGTGACTTTAATGCTCAAGTAGGTAAACTAAGCGATAGGGAAAGACACCTAGGTGGATCTTATGGTGTCGTGGCTCAAAGAACAGATAATGGCGACCGTCTGTTGCAGCTGTGCTCAGATAACCGCCTGTTCCTTGCAAATACTAACTTTAACCATAAGGAAAAACATCTTTTAACATGGCAACCCCCTAATTCGTCCTAACGTTGGACCCAAATAGATCACATCGCTATCAGCCACCGATGGAGGGGCTCGATAGAAGACTGTCGCTCATTTTGGAGCACATGCCTAGATTCAGATCATGCTCTAGTGCGAGCGCGTATTTGCTTGCGTCTTACTGGACGTAGGAAAGACGCTGCAAGGAAACCTCTTAGGGGCCTACTTAATGATAGTCAAGCTAAGAGTATATTTCAGGAACAACTAGGCAAACAGTTAGGCAGCCATGTATGTGATGCCCACCCCGATGCAGCATGGAACGATATCCGAAAAGCTGTGGAAACAGCATTGATATCTGCTAGTAAGGTAAACCAGAAGGTTAGGGAGCCACACTGGATCTCAGCACCATCTATCGCACTGATAGATGCTCAAAAGCTCACTCCATCTGGATCTGAACATGACGAAGAGCGGAGTCAGCTTAAGCGGCAAGGTGACAAGAAGCCTATGCAATGATCACGAAGTGGTGGGTAGCGAAAGCACGAGAGGTGGAAAAGGCAGTGGCAATAGGTAACATCAGGCAACTGTTCAGACTTGTTAAGGAAACCGGTATTAGGAACCCGACTGTTAGCGAAACTATCTCAGAAAAAGATGGGAATATTATAAATTTTCAATCCAGAAGATTGGATCGATAGGCAGAACACTTGAGGGATCAGTTCGACTGGCCTTCAGCCACATTTCGGTTTCCCACGATCTCCAGTCGACTTGAATGGCAAGTTAATGTAAGTACTCCAACTCTTTACGAAGTTGAAAAAACCATAGGAAATCTGAAACGAGGGAGAGCAGCAGGCTCTCACAAGTTTACCTCTGAGATTGTGCTAGTCTATAAAAAAGGCCGAAAGTCCTCTTGTGACAATCACAGAGGAATCAATTTGACTGATATATTGTCTGAAATATTAGCTCCAATAATTATTCGACGCCTAACTAAAGATCGTGAAGAGCAGATTAGAGAAAACCAGGCTGGTTTTCGACCTGAACATGGTTTGATAGACCAGATATTCACACTTCATCAGGTCCTAGAACATAGACACACATTCAGACGCCTCACAATGGTAGTATTTCTTGACCTTAATGCAGCATTCGACTCTGTTGATCGTGAGGTTCTATGGCAGAGTTTGTCACTGAAAGGAGTACCAAAGAAGTACATTAACCTTGTAAAGGCTCTCTACTCGAACACAACTGGTAGAGTGAGAGATTATGGCGAACTGTCATCAGAATTGATAACCTCGAGTGGTAGTCGTCAGGGCTGTCCACTCTCTCCATTCTTGTTTAACTTTGTCGTTGACGTGCTTTTAGAGATGACACATTCCTCATCTAAATTTCCAGGGGTTGAACTTCTACCGCGAGATTCACTTTTTGACCTAGAATTCTGCCGATGACATAGTTCTATTTGGTGAAGACGCTGACAAAATGCAGAGTCTTCTGACCACTGTAAGCAACAATGCAAGCATGTTCGGGATACGATTCTCTCCCTCGAAATGCAAAATCTTGCTTCAGGATTGGGTTGCATCGACACCCGAACTAATGATAGAGAGTGAATTAGTTGGGCATGTCGACCATCTGTAATTATGTCGTAATTTAGCTATTGGGTTTGAACTTTCCAATGACTCCATCATCAAGTGTAGTGATAATACAGTCAAAAATCTAGTTGTAGGGTGTGAGAACTGAAATACGGGATGAATATAGGGACTAGCTGATTACTTGGAACGATCGCTTCACTTATCTTGAAAGTCTCATCAGCTCTTGTGGTCTAGTGTGACGAAATCTCGGCACGACACAAAAGGTTCGACTAGCTCTTGCTAACTTGCGTCATTTATGGCGTAGGCGAAATATCCTTCTACCAACCAAAGGACCAGTTTACTGTGCAGCAGTATGTTCCGTCCTACTTTATGGCAGTGAAACATGGCCGGTAAGAGTAGGGGACATTCTTAGGTTACTAGTATTCGATCATAGATATCTTCAAAGCATTGCTCGTATATCCTGGGACCGTTGAGTAAGTAACACAGTTGTTAGGAGATGTGTACTAGGTAAGGATGGCAAATCAATTGATGGGGTAGCGAAACTCCATCGGTTGAGATGGCTGGGACACGTGTTGCGTATGCCCAACGACCGACTGCCTCGACGTGCGATGTTTAGTGGTGTAGGAGTAGGCTGGAAGATAGGTAGAGGCGGCCAGATCAAAACATGTCACAATTCCATGAAGTCACTGACAAGTGGACTGAGTCATGTTGGTAGGTGTAAACTACCTGGTTGGGATCCGCGAGATGATAGATGATGGTGACCCTTAATTATATGGCTCAAAATCGTTTGCCATGGCGCAGGTGCATCGACTCCCCAAGTTCTAATCTCCTGAATTCTCCTTGTCTCTCTCCTTCTCTCACTGGATTATACTCCTCGAATAACATTTTTAAACCCTAATGTTTCCGATTACTGCTTATACTCTTATTACCTCTATCACTATAGGATTTGAATTAACAACTAATGTGGTATGGCAACTCGAACTGATGTACGTACGTACAAAGTTCTACGTTGTTACTGATTGACTGACTGCAGTATAAGAAGGCAATCTATGAAACCAAATAAAAAAGTAATAGACACCACTTGATGATCATTCGAAATAATAACTCGTCATTTGGCTTCTTCATTATGATACTAATAATTCCACGTAACATTAGGAAGCATATTGCTTTACTGAAACATTTTCGAAAGTACTCGGAATAAAAAAACATGACATAATCAGATTGCTTGGGAGCTGTAGGCGTGAAACTCATGAAGCATAGAAGGGTAAGGGAAACTATGACTACGAAATATCAGTTAATCTGTCATCAAAAACGTAGAAACAGGCAGGTATATGCATCGGTCCAAGTTGCCACACGTCATCAACACAACAAGGTGAACACTGAATTCATAGATGTTACTTCAATTGCTATATATGTACAAACATTGTGTATAAGAATACGGTATAGGGAGAAAGCATTAGCTCCTAACCCAACTTGTCGAAAGCCAGACGAGCTTTCTGGATACGTGCAGAGATGTCGTCAGACATTAACCTGTTAGGGCTGATTAGACAACCAAGAAAAGTGAATTTTTCGACAACTTCGACTACTCCTGTAGTGGCATTGAACCATAACCACACAATCTTCAAAGCTGAACACAAGACTACTCAGAAAATAGATATTCAATATTTAACACGGAGAAATACCTAACAGTGGAGAAGGCGTGGAGAATGAATTGAATGGACTGGAGTTGATCGAGTGGCATGGCTCGGCCATGCAGGCGTGGTCTCTGCTGAATGTTACCTTATATCCTCTATTCATATTAAATATATTGTTCTTTCTCTAGCATAACCTTGTTCTACATCATGTATTGGTAATTGATACGATACAGTGAGTTGGTGTAGTCGATAGTGTAACTTTCACGTAAGATCTTATAGATTAGGCAGTTATATCATGACAAATCTACAAATTTGGGATTAGGTCTATTATTAAAGCAGTACTAATATCATAGTAGACCATAGTTCTACACTCCACTCCATATCCTTAGTTCAAGTGTTGACACAGGCCAGTCCTGAAGCAACAACTTGCATTTAGAGTTGGAGAAACGCATCCCAAACATCCTGGCATTGCCACTCAGTGCTACCGAAAGACTCTGCATTTTATCAGCGTCTTCACCAAACAGAACTATGTCATCTGCATATTCTAAGTCGATAAGTGGACCTCCTGGATGGAGATCAATACCCGAGAACTCAGTCGACGAGAAAGTTATTTCCATCAGTAGATCTATGATGAAGTTAAACAAAAATGGGGAAAGTGGACAGCCTTCTCGTACACCGATTGAGGTCGAAAAACCAGATGACATTTCGACTAGTAGTGTTCGAGTAAATAGCCTTCACAAAGTTTAGGTACTTCTGAGGTACACCTTTCAATCACAGACACTACCACAGGACCTCTCGGTCTACAGAGTCAAAAGCTGCTTTTATGTCAAGAAAGACCACCATTGTCGGACGCCGATAAGCATGACTGTGCTTTAGAGCCTGACGAATGGTGAATATGTGGTCGATGCAGTCACGATAAGGTCTGAAGCCAGTCTGGTGTTCTCATATTTGCAGTTCACGAGTCTTAATTAGGCGCCCGACAATTATTGAGGCTAGTATTTTAGATGCTATGTTGGTCAAACTAACCCCTCCATGGTTATCACAGGATGATTTTGATACATTGGGACGATCAGTGATTGAGACCAGTCACATGGGACGACATTCAGTTCACAAATCTCAGCTAAAATATTAGCCACCAGAATCCCGTATGTTTTGGAGACAGCATACATCAACGGTGCGAGGCTTTAGGGTCTTAGCCAAAGAGGCCTGCTGGTTGACTTGACATACGTTGAAGGCTCCAATGTGTAGTTTGGAGCGAGGTTTCAGTAAATCTGGGACAGTGTTTCACGCACTAGAATTGTTGGCCATGGTGACACTTGAGGAGGAATTCGAAGAAAGAAGTTTGGAGTTAGTAGTCAAGGTAGGAGGAATAATAGGAACCGAAGAGGGAAGTTGATTATGAATCCAATGGTCTTAAGTGCTGTTGGAGGTATGAGGGCAGTTATAACTTCCCGGTTGTCCACACCGTGGAGAGGTCCTTCTAGAGGTACCTGAAAAGGAAATTGGGTTAGAGTTGGTCTTAGTGACCCGAGAGCGTGACCGCAGTGCCCAAAGTGGTAACCGCTTGAGGCCGGTCACAATAGGAGATAGACTGAACTTCAACATCGTAGGTCAGTAGAAACAAACATTAATCACTGCACTACACCTCATTTCCCCATCATCCTTTTCGTCAAGATAAGCATTGAGTGCTCGATCCACTTCCTACTGATGCGCCTGGAAAACATTATGGTAATATAACAAAGACCTGCAGCTCAATATGGTGCTTTATTCTCAGAACTAAATGGTTTCATGGAAGCTTCGCAATCGAACCGAGAGAACATCACATCATAGTAATGTTGGAAAGAGCCCTGGTTCTGAGTTCGTACGTGGGACACAGAGAGTGTACCACCGACAACCGATTATGAATAAATCGGCGTATCAGGGTTGGTCATAGTGCATTGAAAACTCAACATCAACAACATAAATTTTGACACGACTTAGAACACAAATGGTAAACTTCAATGATTACCACCGTTCCTTAATCGGGCTAACCAACTGCGACTGAATTCCTTACTAGTCTCAGTCAAAGCCAACTAATGAAACTGTTATCAGCCAAATGGAGAGAGACATTTAGCCATCAGTTTCTAAACACTAATTTCATCAAACAGCTCGTGCCTAAACTTTCCGCTCTACATTGACACCATTAACTTAAGGGTTATAGTACGAACCAATCTTAAGGAAACCTAAGACGACCTTTTGAGTGACAGGTGTCACGCAACCATAGAGAGCATAAACTTGGGGATATGCAACCATACACATTTGGAAATCCAACTCTTAACCATCTAGAGAACATGAGTTTATGGCTGGAATGGAATCTAGAACACGTGTGTGAAAGCCAACACTGATTGGATCGAGAGGTAGTGATTTTAGGGCCAGTCTCGGCCAATATCCACTGTTCATTGTGGTAGTCGGATTTTCATCTCTCTGCATAGGCAAATATACATATATACTGAGATTCTTGTTGCCTAAAGTGCTACTGCAGCCCGAATCCACTTCAAAAGTTGTAAAAATAAGAACATGTAACAGTTTTTGGGACTTTACTTTAGTGGGACCTAAGGACCCAACCGGACTTGTCAAAATGAGAGTTGCACACTAAAAACAAGATATAAATTAGGGCAAAAAGTTCAATTAGTTTGAGAGAGTATACTAAACCGTTTCTAACAGACTTATCATTGATGATGTACTTATGAGGATAGCTGAATGAATCATACGCCTAATCAATTATTTTGGTCTTTAGAATACAAATGTAGGTAGGTACAGCTATAAAATAATCAAGGTTACATACTTCTAGGACAGAAATCGGAGATGAAGCACCGTTGGAAGAAAGCCTCATGAATAACTGTATTTGTATTAGTTACACCAAAAAATGTAGTGACATATCGACACCCTATGATGTATATAATAACTAAAAACTCATCTTTTTCGAACCTTATTCTTCATGTTTAGTTCTAGTGATTGACACTAATACTACATGACTTCGACTTATTTGGTATTTTTGTTAATTTCAACTCGCCGTCCTGAAGTGACATGGCAACTTGGGCTAACACACATTTATTCTAGGCTGTATGTTAATTATGACAAACTATATAAAACACCTATAAATAGAGATGCGGTTTCTAACATGAGCTGAAAAACATAACCTTCTGGTATATATTAAATAATCTATATTATATACAATTTACAATGAAATTAAAATAACACGTTCACTGTACAGTTGCCTTCGCGGTTGCCTGAGCTTTTATTTTATGCATACGGTGATATTTCTCAATATACAGCTTTACAAATGTGCTTATTTTTTCGGTATTGATTGAAGAAGTACCACTTCGCGAAATCTACAATGAACTAGTATACATTTACTGATACCTCTTACCTTAGTAACAGCCTTTTTCATGATTTCTTTGTAATCTTCTTTATTTATACGTCGTAGAGAGTATGCAGGTTTTAAAACTGATTTTACTTCCAAGGCGATACGTTCTTGCCACTCACGACGTGAAGAGAAGTCGTATCTTTTCCGCTTTGCTAGTACTTCCTCAATCTTCATGTCTCCAAAAGGTTTCTTACTTTCCGTTTTAGTTTCTCCACATGCACCATTAGGCAACACTTTGTCACTGATTTCGTTGTTAGAAAACGGATTAATTACTGCTGGGAGTGGAGGAGGTACGAATGAATGTGACAGAGTAGAAGTGGTTGGCGGCAGCTCATTATGTTGTTGGAATGGTAACGGTGGTGGAGGAGGAGGTGGCAATGGATCAGAAGAGGAAGTGTCTACATCCGTTCTTTGGCTACCTGCAAGTTGGTTTAAAAGAGAACTTGCAGCTGAGCTTAACAGTTTGTTGATTTGTTTCATGGGAGAGCTCTCACGAACAGAATCAGGTTTGTCATTTGGTTTATTATTTAGATTTAAATCGCTTAGTGTATTACAAGGTAGACCTGCTTTGCTCATTAAGGTTTCTAAGAGATTAGAAGCTGGAGCCTGCATCTGTTGCGCGTATGTAGGGGGTGGCGGTGGTGGGGGTGGAGGATGTGGAGGCAGAGCAGTAGTTTGGAAACCAGGACCCGACATTACCATAGGCAAGCTCGGCACTGATTGCATGCACTGACCGGGAAAAACTGAATCGGTCCCTGGTAAGCAGATCACTGAATTCATTATGTCTGGGATGCGTCGAGCTAATGGTGTGCTCCGATGGTTTACGCGTGATTTTCGGGTTTACTGATCTGCTATGAGCGATTGGACAGTGCAATGCATTGTTGTAGTGCGTTAGTTTCAAAGAGATTTGTATTTGAATCATATGCACACCTTCCCTTTACTGTTCCTATTTCGATACTAAGACTGCAAGTCCGAGCCCCTGAGTAGTGAGCTTTTTTGAAGCCATCTTGGGAATATGGAATTCGGGCTATAAGTCCTTGTTTTGCATATGAAGCAGGTATGCTAAAATAAGTTTAACGGCGATGGACCAAAATGGAAAAAGGTCTCATTACCCCATTTTATGAATGCATACTCAGACGCTTCAACATGTTCCTGTAACCCTATCTCGGTTTACGGAGTGACTTAGTGCTCTCTTACCATAAACTGGACGATGATTTTGGTAATAATCTGTCTTGTCCTTTCTCTCCATTCAGGAATGATTATGTGAGAACTCACCCCAAAAGAGTTCAAAAACCAAAATCAAGTTGCTTACATCTTTTGATACACCCGAAAAGGGACTGGATCTTCACATTACCACAAATTTACTAATATAGGTCAATTGATATCCGATCCCTATTACTAGACACTGGTTTCCCTATCTCTCATCAGCCTCGGACAGCCTAAACATAATAGTATTATTCGCTGGAATTAGCTTACACACTTTGTAACATAATATTGGAAAAGTGTTGGTTAGTGAAGAATAATGACAAGAGAAATAAGTCGTAAGCAGCTGGTGAGAATAATAATCGGTTTGTAGTACTCTTCAACATTATTTTTGGCTGAAATCAAATTTATAAATGTTAAAAATCGTATGAAATATAATAAATACCTATAAAACTTTATCTCCCACAATTGCTGTGTGACGAAAGTGTTATAACACCTGACCAAATAGAAAGCTTATATTCTTGAACACAGCACTGATTTACAATAGAATGGATTCGAATTTACCAATAAATATTACATTTTATTGGGAACATAAGATGACTATTGATAAACTAACTTTGAAAACCTAGAGGCACTGGACGGCCGTTTTATACTAGTATGGGCTCCTCAGCAGTGCGCAACCATTATGTGATTTCATTACTTTTTCACGTCCCAGGACAGAGTGGGTTGGAGAACGCTGGTTGGCGGTTTATGGTCCATTGGGAGTAACAGGCGTAAGTAAGTAACTTATTTCACCCACATATTTGTGCAGATGATGTGTTTATTTCGTGAAAAAGGAAGAGAGAAACAAACTTTTTAGTATATCATATGCCTATAGGCATAGAATTTTATAAAATTCTACGTTGTCCCCCAGCGTACGAAACTGAATATAATTACTATCAATAAATTTGTCGTGTTTCAGACTTCATTACCAGGAAAAACACAAAATAAAAAATGTCTTTGCATTAGGAAGAACGCTCTCCTACCGAACAACTGAAGTTTTCAATAGGCAAATTTTAGAGGATGGTTTGAAGTTTGAAAAGTGCAACCTTATGGCACTCGTGCTTTCAAAATTGGGCGTTACTGCACATGTGAGTCTCGCGTAAGTACTTTCTTTCGTCCGTGTATGTTATCGAGTCTTCCTTACTTCTCCAGGATTAAAGGCCAAAAAATAGGTTTCGAGATTCACTGCGCATACTGAATGTACTTGTCATCCCTGTTGATGCGTTTTTAACGATTAGCTGATCAAATTAATATCAAAGCTTACAATTTATTTTTAATAGTCTGAAGGAAACTCCTATTTGTCTAGACACTTACTCACTATTGAGAATACTGGTCTGTGCATATTCGAACTGGAATTTTGGAGTACTTTATGAAGTTGGTGGAGGACTTAAATGTTCTCTGGTCCCTTATATATCATTAAAAACACCTGATGTTCCATACCTCATTTTCAGGGGTAGTTGCATTTGAAAGTTTTATAATATGCACAGGTCAAATATTTTAAAAATACGAATACAAAGTTTGTAAATACCAGTCCTTAAACTTTTTTTGTACTATTGCATGAATTTTATTTTCATATACAGGTATATCGAAATAAAGTGCTTGGTTTGATATTGAATTACTATGGACACAATCCTGTTGAGTGATCTTGAACGTTTCTACTTAGTACAAGGAGTTGAAGTAAGCTTATTTGCTAAACTAAACTAAACTTAGGTGGGATGTAGAATGGATGGTCGTGAACCAAGTGAATATCGACCTTTGGAAATTGAAACCAATATTTTAAGTCACGCGACTGGTTCAGCTAGTATTCGTATTGTAAGTACATCATATCCACGTTGGATTTCATCATTTATAGGGTGAAACATTCATTGTTTGCTGTGTTAAAATGGAGGTTGGCAAACCTTCTTTAACTAACACTGGTGAAGGTCGTATTGAAATAAATGTTGAATGGTGAGTGTTACTAAAGTTTAGAAAGTACTCTCACGTATTTCGTTGGTTTAAAAATGAGAGGTATTCGCCTCCAAATAATATATCACTTTGAAGCGTATTTTTAATGTTTTCTGTCAACATATGCTTTCAATATCGCATGTGTCTCATTAACTGTAACATTAGGTGCATTTTTGATTATAAAACCGGCAGTTTGTACAGAATTTTACTTTTCAGTTATCCTACAGCAACTCACCGGTGTAGTGAGAAGGCAGCGTCCGAGCTGGAGGAACGTTTGAAGACAACATTACAATCAACCTATCAATCGAAGTTTATAGATCTAAGCCCTCTGTGTATCCAACGAGGTCGACAGTGCTGGGTCATCTATATCGATCTGCTTGTTAGTTTTCTTCGTATATAATTGTTTTTCCCAGATCTTAGAAGGTGCTGGAAACTTACTTGATGCTTCCTCCCTGGTAGTCAAAGCTGCTCTACTAAACGCTACGTATGTCACTGTTGCTTTAAAATCTTAAATCTTTTTAGACAGTCAAATTCTTTATTATTGTCTGTTTTTCAAAACAACCCAAAGTCTGTTGAGGCAGAAGTTCACCAGTTTCGTGGAGATATGTTGCCGTTATTTGTCACAATACATAAGGTAGGTACACTTGTAAATCAGTTTTAGAATGTCTAATTATTAAACTACTGGTTATAATTAACGTTATATTCGTCATAGTGTTGATCTATTTGATGCTTTCAGTATCATACAAACTATTTTCCTGATGATCTTCATATTTCATGCATACCTCTAATTCACTAGACCTTCCATTAACAATTGACTCAGAACACTGTATACTCGTAAAAGTAAATCCGAAAATAAATGTATGTTTTCACATGCTGCTTATTTCATTTCCTGTATAAGAGCTTCAACATTGTATTATGCATTTAGTGACACTTGTTCATGCTGTCTAGTCATCTTATATAAACGTTTAATTTGAATCGGGTAATTTAGTTACATTTTACTACCACCATAAAAAAACTACAAGCATTTATAAACAATTGTTTACGCACGATACTCAATGTCCGTTGATCGCATGCCATCAGCAACAGCCTACTATGGGAGAGAATAAACCAGCTTCTATCTGAAGCGGAAATTAAGAAATGGTGGCGGTGGACAAGACATACATTTCAGGAATCATCAAACTGCATCACGAAGAATGCGCCTACTTGGAACGCTGAAGAGACGGAAAAGTGGAATTCCAGAGAATACACTGCGTCGAGAACTGGAAGCATACATCAAAAGGATGAACAGCAAGTCCATGAAGTCACTGACAAGTGGACTGAGTCATGTTGGTAGGTGTAGACTACCTGGTTGGGAACCGCGAGATGACAGCAACCGATGGTTAGAGATCCTGAATGATATGGCTCAAAATCGTTTGCAATGGCGCAAGTGCATCCACTCTTTGTGTTCTCCCGAATTCTAATTTCCTGAATCCTCCTTGCCTCTCTTTTTTCTCTTTCCAAATTTATTTCACTGGATTATACTCCTTGAGTAACATCTCCAAGCCCTAATGTTTCCGGTTACTGCTCATACTCTTACTACCTCTACCACTACGGAATTTGAGTCGACAACTGCATCTCCGTGTTAATGTAGTGTGGCAACCCGAACTGATGTACGTACGTACGAAGTTCTACGTTGTTACTGACTGACGAATAGCAACTGAGAAAGAGTACCCCAGACAGAGTTGGATGGATAACGTTGGTGAGCGGCCTGTGCTGCTCCACAAGGGGTAACAGCGTAAGTAAGTAGTTTAGTTATGTTATTCATCATAACCAAATCGACTCACCCGTTAGCCGAATTTCTTGTACAATCAGCTACAGATTAGTTTACCGGACTATTGGTTGAGCATGTTCCTTGAATGTAAACGATACTAATTAAATAAATGGCTTACCCTTGCTTTTAGAATTGAAGACCAAGCCATTAAAAACAACCCGTTCTAATCGTTACTTCAAAAACCTTAAGGCAATGTGCTTTCACTTGATTTTCTAGATTGGAAAAACATATATCATAGATGCAAGTAAGGAGGAAGAAGCCTGTTCATTATCCAGGTCAGATTTGCAATAAATTATTCTTAACAAGTAGTTTTAGGTTATCTCTTGTTATCTATCCAGATGGTTCAATTGGTTCTTTGGAACAAGATGGGTGTTGTAGTTGTCAATTAGAATCAATTGTTGAAATGTCACAGGTAACAACAATCTTGACTAACACGCTTTATTTTTAGTTAGCAACAAGTGTCGGCAAGAAGTTGAATCACGCCTTAGTAAAGACACTAGAATTGGAAAAGCAGTTACGTTCCTAGTCAATGTGAAATGTGTTTTTACTAATAAATATATGTACATATGTGTAACACTAATGTCTCTTAGATGTTGAGATTATTACTTTTATCATTGTTCATATTCACCTCAGAGGTCAATAGTTAACTACACATAATTATGATCACCGTAGCTATTTCACTAGAAATATTTTGACTGATTATTATCGGTTGTTCAAGTTTAAGGACATCTAGGCATTTACAAGGAATAACTAGCAACTTCAATATCAATACGGTGAATGGGACTACTGCTACTCTATTCTTCCCTACTTCGCTAACTACAGTAAGAAGCCCAGTTTCGTAACAGAAGATTTGTTAATGATGAACCCAGTGGAATTAAAAGCATGTTTAAGTTGATCGGTTATACATCGATTATAATCTGTGTACTGAGTAATTATCACTAAATACAAATCATAGTGGAAATACATTAATAGTCTAGAAAGTAATGTAGTGAAAACTTGGTGTAGATTAGTTTTCTTCGTAAATTGCATTTAGGGACTCTATCCGTAATATAAGGATATCGTGGCGTTTAGAAGGAACCTCTACCAGTCCCCTTCTTAGATATACCCTTTCGAAAGATACTAATATTTTGGGTCTCCCAATATAAAACCAAAGGTTTCTAGATCCTAGTTATTCTGTTACTACTAGCCAGTTCTTTTATTATGAAATTAGTTTCCAATTTTTTCAGCGAATACTATTCTATTTAGGAATCACAGTCAAACAAATAATGATTTGTATCAGAAGGGTTTCCTGTGGATATTATATTAATTCTAATAATTGAGATCATGAGTCATTTGAACCTAGGCCAACACTGAAAACCTATTGTGGGACCCCTCGGTGACTTGAATATACTCTACCCAGACTAGTGTATTTCTTAGCATGTTAGTCTTTTACTACGCAATAACTGGAATCCACATTTTGCTAAAGTCAAAGTAGGAGTGTCATATACTACGTCAGGAACTAAACTTCCTACTCACTATTTTTTACCATACTCTAGTGTGCCGGGGGCAAAAACAGAACCAGGTTACGCGCTAAGAAATACGCTTCGTCCCAGCATGGGACCCCTCAGTGGTGTTCATCTACGATTCCGCATGTGGGACTCGGACCCAGGATCTTTGGTCTCGCACACAAGCGCTTAGCCCCCAGACTACTAAGAGGGGTATCCACCGATGCTTATGTTTAACTTCAACCGATCCACGGTTTCTCACAACCGTTCCTCTTCAGACAATCGATGATGGGTTGCGCAAGATCATGGATAGATTGAAGCCAGACATGGATGCCCTTCTCAGTAGTCTGGAGGTTAAGCGCTTGTGTGCAAGATCAAAGATCGTGGATCCGGCTGTATTTCTGGACCTGAAAGTGACATCAGACCATACTAAGAATGTACGCTTGATAAGTGACACGAGATCTGTTGGGAACTGGTTTATTGTGGCATTTTACCTAGTGTTAATCTAGGCTTCTATTATTTATTGGCTCACGCAACCCTAAGAAAACCATTACTTTCAGTATACGGGATTTCACGGGGATTGTTGGATTTCGTAGTTTACATTACAGGCTGGACGAACTAGACAACCAATAGAACTGCTTAGCTACAGTCAATGTGAACTACATTGTCTAACATTTATTGCCGCAACATGTCGGTTTGTGATTTAAATTCAAAAAATGTTCGGAACTGTTATAAGCCATAGAATATTTCCTTATAGTCGGCCAAACTAACACATGTAGATATTAAAGTACTTATTTACAATATATACACTAAGTTTATGCCAATTGGCTTCAAATCGAATCTTCGTTGAGATAGTCACTTCTGTTCCAGTGTTTAAGCCTGTCGGAATAACGCTGTCTTCGTTGCTCTTCGCGCCTTCTGCTAATTCGCTTCTCGCGCTCCAACCGCAACAAGTTCACCGTTTTTTCACTCCACATGCACTCATCTGATTGTGCATGACTTGGTATAACTTTAGGAGAAAGATGTTCACTGGTCAGTGTCTGAACTGCTCGACCCAACGGGTCTACTGACTCCACAACCTTTGGACCAACCCATTCACCCTTTTCTAATTCATCTTCTGCACGGTTACGTTCTTCTACGACCATTAAAAGATTCTCCATACTCTCCTCAACCTATTTTAAAAACAGATGTAATGTAACTTAAATTGTGAAGTAAACTCGTTCTAAACAGATAGCATGGGTTAACATACTTGTATTAAACAAACTATTAAAAATGATGCTCGTTAATCCACATAGAATTAGTCATTATTTACACAATCTATAAATAATAAGCCTCACAAACGATCATTTTACATCTATTTTCCCTAACCTAACTCTACCATCTTCAATCTCGATCAGAGCTTTTTGTAAACGTGAAATATCTACATCCTTTTTCAAACACTAGTCTACAACTGTCGTTGCTTCAATGAAATATTTAATGGGGAAGGATCCTAGGTGACGTAGTTCGGCGTCAGAGTTGACAAGTCTGACCACTTCGTCAAAATAACGGCTACAGTGTGAGTTGATGGTGTTTGACTACAGATGTCTTTGAGGTAGTTTATCTGTATGAAGACCATTAAGGGATGCAAGATTATTCACAGTTTTAGTTAGATTATGAACCAATTAATGGTGCTATGGACTTCTATTGGCTAAGATGCCTGCTGCATGGGTGGAGTACTTTCAGACGCCATCTCTCCTCATATCCAATGGTAGCTAGCATAGAAGTAGCTAATAAGAATGCTACAGTTGGCACCAGTTCTTTAAAGGGATTGACTATTAAACTGATTTATGTTCAGAAGTGCAAACTTCCCAGTTAGAGTCTGTACAACAACCGTAGAGATCTAAATTGACTTAGGTCATACGTCCTATCCCTTAATTTCATTAATTCGTTGTGAACTATGTTCTATTCAGTTTTCCCATGTTATTAATGCTACCTTGACTTCTATGATATTCACTTTGTAAACTTACTCTACGTGTTTTCTGGACATCAACATGAGCCAATCTAAGTTTGTGCCAAGACCCACACTATGTTTAAATGACCTACTGTTGTTTCCATACCAAACTACATCTTTACTGTGATCGTTTGCATGTTTTGTCAACGATCTAACCAATTTCCTCTTTAAAAACAACCTTACTATCAAACCAAACACACAGACTTTCCAAATGTACGTTTCTTGTGCATATTTAGACAAAGGCACATGCAAACACGTACCAACACACACTGGAGTCCAAGTGATGTTCTTCTGATAAACCTCTTTAGTTATGATCGATAATGATACCATTTCCCTGTATATCCCTGGGTCAATCTCACCAACCGCTACGTCAAGACAAAGTGAATCCGGAATTCATATAGTCATTGTAGTTAGTCATGGTCAACATGGGACCTGGGATAAACGTAATCCAGTTAGATGTACCACACCATATCAGTGCGGAGACGAAATTACTAGGAGGAACACCAAAATCTGAAATAACAGCGGTATCAGTTATATTGGAAAAGATAAAACATTGGTGAATACCGTTCGAAAGGAAATGAATTCGATGGATTAAGAGTACAAGGTAATACTAAGGCTTAAGACATAGGGAAAGACTAAGAATTAATACACCTACCCCACTGGTCGGTCGTGAGATATCTCAACAGTCTCCAAGCCCTGGTCACTGTTATACCTCGGACCCCTACTAAATAAAATGCACCCATCAACCTTCAGGTTCTCCACTAGCACAACTGTATTTGTTAGCTTGGTTTCTATGAGTAAGATCAACAGATGTCGGCAAAATCATCAGTGATAGCACCTGAATAGCAGATAATGAGCAAATAAGGCTAATATTTCGCTTCTCTATCAAAAGTAAGCTTTCAAAGTGTTTTTGTATGCGCATTATTAATAGCCGCTCTATTTAATAAATGTTTGGTTACACTAAAGAATTCCCAGCACAAAACCTAGAATATTGTAACGACATGAAAAGGCAGCACCATTTGATCAGTTTTTACTTTATTCGTTTTTGGTAAATTCAGTTTTCTTAGTGTTTATAAGCGTAATAAAACAACACACTTCGTCTCAACACTCAAATATAATACGATTTAGAGGTAATTTTATTTGACTCGCCGAGTACAAATTCGTTTTTCTAGCTTTAAGTCACAGCTAGCATACTACCCAGCTGCCCAAACCGAAGTAAACGGAGAGTGACTCGAACATGCGACCTAATGGTTGGAAGTCGAATGTCGTAACTCTTAAGCCACAGCCATAATTTACAAGTAGCCAGTATCATTTCAGTAAAGCTAACTTTATAACTTCAAACTAATTATGGTGACAAACTTCTAAAGTAAGCGCGATAACTTTATCCAATATGTATACACATTGACCTACCTTCTCAAAGCGCTCAGGATTAGGCATTTGCTCCAAACAACGGAAATGCTCTTCTTCCATAGTCATCAGCATGTTACGCTCCTTCAGAAGCACGTACCACAGTTTATGTAGATCAACATTACTCTTCAGTCGAAGCTCTTCTTTGCGCCATGGTCTTCCACTATATACAGTCGGTTCTCCCCAATTTTTCTTATCATCAAAAAATTCACTTAAGTCTAAAAGCTTAGTAGTTGTGGAGAATTTGTGATATTGAAGAGAATTCGTCTTTAAGGATCTAAAATGGGGCTATAACAGTAGCAATAATCAAAACCTGTGTAGCAATAATCTTCGAAGCATTGAAGGCCTGTGTTTAACCTATTAAAAACGGAATTCCAACATGAGACCAGCTTATGACAAGGTAAATTTAACCAAATATATTCGTTTAAAATCAATTCAAGACTACATCCCGAAAATATGAACTAATTTTTACTGAATTTTACCAAATAAGAACGTTGTACTAACTCGAAGTTGTTACTCCGATGTACATAAAAGTATGATTACAGACGTCATTCACCATTACTTTTTCAGGATATTTAGATATGATTTCTGTAATACAGATGATAACCAAAATGGTGGAGACAAGTTAATTATTTAGTTGTTCACTTTGATCATGTAGATATGCCTGATTAGTCAGGGTACGTGAAACTCAATCAACGGGTCACAGAAACTAAGAAAACTTATTAAATTGTAGTCATGTAACATAAATAAACCAAAAGGGGTGTGATTTACAGTCTGGTAAGCGGAAAATATTTGAGTTTTGTTCGTAGACGGTTAGAGACAGATGAAGCGAGAGTTATTCAGTAGTATCATAAATAACGTATTTTGATGACAGCTCTCTCATTTATAGCGGTTTGTTCGGTCAACCTGAGTAATTTTTCCCTAAAGCTTGAATGTTTATGGCTGTTTTGACCAGCTTAACTTCAAGCTTTTGATATGATAATTTTAAGTAAATATATACCAGCAATGAAAACATGAGACAGGCCTACCAACGTTCCTCCTAGCTTCAATGTTAGACTGAGATGATACTACATTCTAGAAAGTTAAACACACGCTGGTTGGATTAATACTGATTTATTTAATGTGAATCAAACTATACTGAATGATTATTTAGATACCAATGCTTCGGCAACTGACTCAAATGGTACATTTCCGCCTCTGTTGGCCAAAAGTGCACTCCATGCCATTTGTCAATAAAGTGGAAATCTGTAGACTAACACGATTATTCAAAACTACTGACAAATATATATAACTCAAATCATGGTAGTGTAGTGAACGACTCGATCAGTTTGATGGGATTGTCATTGGAGTAAATCCCCAATGAGATGCGTACAAATTTTCAGCTCAATTAGCTTCTAACTAACTTAAGCTGCCAAAAATAATGGCATCGATCCACACAGTCAATCAATCGATAATTCTAAGTCAGGGAACGCTTTTATCTTACCGTGTTACCTTCGCGCCTCGTAAACTGATAAAGTACTACAAAGTTCAATAGTAGCTACACGTTGAGACGGAAGAAATTCATGTTACGTGGTGGATAAGCATTCGGAGATTACAACCCCTTAATGTCTTTGTCGTGAAAAACAGAGGAGACATCGCATAAATGTAATAACAAACATGGCATGTGTTACTAATCCTCGCTGCATGTTCCCGTGAGTTTTAGGTGTTATCGTGGTACCTGTCAAAACCGTATGAAATAAGCAGTTGTGTTACGTTACTGAATACAACTTTACTTTTTACAGACAACACGCCAGTCAAAATCATTTTCTTGACAAATCACGACTAAATTGTGATATAACATTATCGGAATGACGATCTTTTGATGAATAATAGCTGAGATATGGTTTTTGTGATGAAATATTTTATTTTGAAGTTTCGTGGCAGATGTGGGCCGAACTGCATCATCTGTGTTAACCGAAGTTATCATCAATTCCAGACAGGAACACGATTACATTTAAATGTGCTACAAGTATTTGGAGTTTAACAACACCTGGTGATATATTTGACAGAATATCGATGTATTGGGAAGTACAAAACAGGCTAGAGGTCGTAGGAGATGTGAAGCAGGTCGTACCCACTCGTGATCTGATGTGGATGAGTAGTCGAGCGCCCTCAGTTAGGTGAGTCCATTTAAGCCAATGCAGCTGGCATCAAATGTTGAAGACTTGCAGAGATACTGATTTTGAGGATCTATTTACCACTACAAATACTCACAGTATGATACTTGTAGGAAGTCGGGTTTATGATCAATCTCGTCAACCTCGACAACACGGCTAGTTAACAGTATTCCGTCAAATATTATGATCATATCTCACAACAAATAATGCAAGATACCGCTTTTAGTTAGTGTTTATGCCGGTGTACCGTCCGTATGTGGCGATTACAAATTGCATCTGCATTAGTAGGTCAACTAAAGGAACAGAAGTATAACTAATATTCCAGGTCGTTTGTCAAGTTTATTATGGTTTAGTTTGTTGCAGGGAGATTTTCCTCTACTTAATTATTATATAACCGTGATAGGATTTAATAAAACTACTAATGCATTTGAACGAATATCAAAAATTATTTTGCGTGGAAGTGCAGACTACATGAGTTTTGGACAGACAGCTGACAATAAATAGTTGAATATGATTGGGTCCACTAGACATGTTCTGAACTAAGTGATTTCGTGTACAGCATATTTACTGGCTGAAGGTGCATACATGTCAGTTGCGAGTATGGGGTTTAGCATAAGGCTGAAACGACTTATGTGAAATATAGTGATTAAAAAACTGCTGAAATCTGCAAAGCCTGTGTGCCGCAATGCTTCCGGCTAAATAAATTTTACAAGATGATAGCGTGAGTGACGCCCACGTGCTTACCAGGGAGAGCATAAGCTACAACCAAGGGGAGTACGACTCCCAACTCATGTCTACGATAATGGTATGGAGCTTTGTCAATAATGGGGTGAATTCGAAAGTGATGTAGTATGTTGTCGTGTATAGATATTGAATATATCTTACGGCACAAACGTTTTGGGAGTAGTTCGTATGAGATATATACGGCTAATATAAGTGAGAATACGCATATTTCAAGTACAAGAACAGTAAATCATCCAGCAAAGTTTATACTGTCCGATGGATTCGACGCACACAAAACCAGTTGCGACAAATGGTGAAGACCAAAAAGGAATCAAGTTAAGTATTCAGTAGGGTAACTAATTCCAGGGCGCTTGAAGCTGTTGACATTTTGTCACTTGATTGATTCAGCACAAATCCAAGAGTCCATATAATTATGTGGCTGTTAATGCATAAACCATCTGAAATGAAGTAAAGATTGCAGAAATTTCATAGCTTAGTCTCACCATAAGTTTCTCGAATATTGGCTTCGTCGTTTCTCAATGGAACTCGAAAAGTGGAAATTAGTCGAAATGAAAGATGTTACGGATAGCGAACAATTTTAAATAAAGTGGGATACTAATTGAAGGAACAAGTTGAAGAATAAGATCCTTGCATACATTGCTAGCCGGTGTTTATTTATCGGAGGCCTTATTTGCTAGTTCTTGATGTTCTAACAAACCTATTTCACTGAAGCGTTTAAATTCTATTGAAGCTTGTTAATGAACTATCATAGCCAAACATAAATGTAGTTAATCACTTGTTTGCATCGATCGCGGTAATTAGCCGTGGACTAATCAATATTACAATATGATAGTACGTCTGAGCATTAATCAAAGTACTGATAGGACAACGGGTTAATGATTGGGCAGTAAAGAGTGGGAAATAAGTATTTTTGTTTTGGCTGTGGTTCTAACTTGGACGAACTCCATTTAAGGCAACTAATGTGACAGCCAAATTCGTACAAACAGATACCTGTGACAAAATGACCATGGTTGGGCTAGCGTAAAGTAAATTTAAAAGGCATCAAAGCAACGTAATATAAAGTATGTATATGCTAGGTCAACGTGCTATCTGACACTGGATAAAAAGACCTGAAAAACGCAACCACAATATTTAAATTTTGATATATGCCTTATGGCATAATGGAGATAATACAGACCCTTTGTAAGAGGTTGATGTAGTTATCTTAGTGACATTTGTAAATATGTTGTAGCGATAGTCAGAACTAAGAAGCATCAGACTAATGTGCAGTCAGATATGTTTTGCTTGAGAACAACGCACTTTATCTTGGTAGTATGTTATCTTACGTATAGATTAAATATATGTTATACAAATATATATACGGCTCCTTATGGTCTAGTGGAATGTCACGAACCAATGGTATTGATGCTGATTTATTATGCAAAATACCTCATTAAATCGTGTTAAGAACGCTGAATTGGTTTCACTTCCTACTGAGTAATCCTATTGCAAGCAAACTAGACAGCTCGCTAAAAACGATGTCTGCTCAAAACCCCATAAAATCTACAAAAACGGGCTCGAATAGCTTGGACAGGAAAGGGCGGCAGTCACTTGTGTATCGGAATACTGTTTGCACCACTATATTTTATAACTACACATAATCCCATACTGAGTAGTCATACCTTAACTATTCTTTCATGAACGTTGTCTGCTCTGCTTCTCGTCTTTTCTTTTTCTTGCACCCTTTTTTAGCCCCCTTCAGATATGCCACTGAAAACAGATATGAAACGAGTGACTTCGTCCTGCACCATCATCAAAGCCTTAGGCATTCTAAAGGGATATAAGGTTGTGAATTTATAAAAGCCCCCAACTTGACATGCATCTATTCTCGACCATCAAGCCTTCATAAAGCGCGCCAACTGTGATGTTGAAAATACGATTCTCACTAAAACCATCTTCATTCACATCTTATAAAATATTAGCCCAGCTGAGTAATTTACTACAGTAAAAATAATGTCTTTTGTAACAATTTGATCTTGCCTGTAAACTGGCATTCCTCATGTAACAAGCTGATATTTGAGAATAAATTATTATTATTAATTATCACTCGATGATCCGTCCTTCCCACGTATATACGTACTCAAATCCTATTATTAATCCTTGCTTAACCTTACTGCACCCTTATGCTATTTGACTATAAGTTTGCCTATGTAATTATTCTCATATATTTATTCTCCCCTCCGATTCAACTACGTTCGATGTGCCTATAGCTTTGAGACCTGCACCGTCCTCTAGTAAACTGTAGTTGTCGCTTCTCTTTGCCTTTCGATTTCAAAAACCGTTGAGATTTATGTTATAACTGTCATCCGTGTGATTTATTAACGAAGCAAAACACTACAGAATTGGTAACCCAACGTACGAACATGGAATACTTTTCAACGATATAATCTGATTTCGAAAACTGAACGCGCTCTGTCTGAATTCGGATTATCATTTGGATTATATCCATGGTTGTAGATATATTATATCACTCTTTTAATAACAAGTATATTACCTCACAAACATTATTAAACCTAACGTTAATACTCGTGATAAATAACGATTTTTCACGAACGATTTATACATTGGTCCAATTTATTAAGTCTGTTCTATGTTGTAAATTGTACCATTTCTTATTATAATTGTTTTTGTGGGTCCATTTCCATTAGTGAAATTTACACTATATACTAAATTTTATAAATATGTCTTCAAATAACGATACGATGGACCCTCCACAAACGCCGCCCGTGAGGTCTATTATTGTCTTTTACAGTCAGTGGCCCTCAACTTTGATTAATTAAACTTGAATATTATTTTGTAACCAACCGTGTTCACTCACAGAGAGTTCACTACTTCCGGACGAAGAAGCAGACAATGTGCGAGAGGTCTTAGCTAAGCTGGACACAGAAAAACCATAAGAGGTCTTAGAGCAGGCAGTGATACGTGCTGTCTCGTTAAACGGCTGGCAAGCCGTTGAGCAGTTGCTCAGTCAAGTGCGAACCGGGCATGGGACTTCATTACAGTTAAAAATCATATTAGCAGCATAATCGGATACAGAAAGGTAGATAGGAACATATTTTATCGGTTGTGGCTGCGACGACTCCCATTGAGTGAGCAACAGGTTCTTGCAGTTAGAAATAGCAATGCAAACATAGACAACATCGCTAAAATAGCTGACAGGATATATGAGAGAACAATACACACGAGTCCATAAAGGCATAGTACCAGAGCAGATGAAAGAATCGATGCGTTACAAAAAGATAATGTTTTATGCCGCAAACTAACGAACTTTAGTCAGAACGAAAGACAAAGAAGATGGTCGCGAATTAGATCAAGATACAGAAATTGATGATGCCCCAGTAGACGCTCATTCTTTTACATTATGATGGTACCATCAAACGTACGATAACTGAGCTCAAAAATGTAGACCACCATGCAAATTCAAACGATTCTATCAGTTGTCGATAACGGCTGCGATAACTAGCACTGCTCCTAAAAACAATCGTTTATTTTATGTCCAGGACAGAGTACTGGGCGCTCAATTCTTAGTTAATACGAGGGCGAAAATCAGCGTAGTACCGCCGATAAGCGAAGGGAGAAAAAACGTTAATACATTAGTGCTAAGAGCGGCAAACAAATCGAATATTAAGACATTGCAAACGAAGGTTGTTCCTAGATTTCTGACGAGGAGCTTCGTACCGCCGAGACTTTATCATAGCTGATGTGTCAGTTCCCATAATAGGCATCAATTTCCTAAGTAACTTTGATCCACTAGTAGACTCACAGCGTCACAGACTTATAAATGGTGGTCACACCACAGCGATAAGGGAAACACGGAATCTGTTTCCATGAACCTAGTAATAAATAAAAGCCGCGATGATTCATGTAAATCGTTGTTAAAGGGGGTTCTTGAACTCACGAACGTAACGTACAGTAAAACAGATCTCAAACACTCCATTCAACATCATATAACAAACGGACCACAAATTAACGCAAGGCCATGATAAGACCCGAGAAGATTAAAAACCGCGAAACAAGGGTCTGGCAAGCTTATGAAACTAGGAATTGTAAGGTCTTTGAGCAGCCCATGAGAATCCCCATTACACATGGCTCCGAAGGAGAATAGTGGAGTTAGGCCGTGTGGAGATTATCGAGCACAAACAAATAGTAACCAACAGATATCGTATGTCGCACATTGACGATTTTGCCAGCAGTGCGAAAGGCGCTACTGTCTTCTGGAAGATCGACCTGGTTAGAGCATATTTTTATATTCCTGTCACCCCACAAACTCCGCCTGAAGTCCTTCCGGGGGCTACTGCCTGTCCCAAGCCCGGATAAAGGAGATTTGGGTGTGGGGTTAGCGACCTCATCCCGTAGAAAACTAACTCGCTAAAAAACGCTAACCAGAAAAAGATTATTCAAACCTTTT